TTTGCTCGTCAGAAGGTCGCAAAAGGAGATCACATGCCCCCGGGACACTGCATCCGTCATAAATGTGAGTCAGCCACCAAGCTTCTGAATTTTGACCACGTGACCATGGAGATGCTGCAGCGGTCGTAAGCGTGAAAAACGGTCATTTTTTTCACTGTAACTTTGAACGGTCACTAAATGAACTGTTGTATGTTGAGGACTACCTGTAACAGAGTTGGAAAGGCCAATCCTCTGCTCAAGCAGGAGACCCTAGACCATTCCAGACAAATGACTGTCCAATCTTTTCTTTCAAAAGAAAATAAAAATTGAAAGGAGGAATATCAATCCTAAGTAATATAAGAGGTATCAATCCTATAATCAGTCTAATAATAACTCTGCTCTGAGTTATTTTGTTTTTGTGAATTTAGAGCTGGGGGAAGAGGGCAAAGTCAAAAAGGCTAATTTCTCCCAGTTATTACCCTCCCCATTTGGGGTGAGATTTCTTTTAATGAAATAAACAAGTATAAAGGGAGACCTTTGTCCACTGCCTCTCCCTCTTATGTTTAATCATTAAAATGCAGCCAAATTAGCAGAGCAGCCACAGACAGCCTTTCCCCAACCGGATGCCCAATGGATGCAAATCCAACAAGTGTAGTGTTACAGTTCCCATAATCTTCAACCCTTGCGGCCATAAGGTGTTTCATGCTCTCTTGGTTTTGTCCTCAGATACCCCGGAGCTGTAATAATAACAACAGAATAACAGAGTTTCCCACAACTTCCAAAGGCAAGCTGTTCCATTGGCTGATTGTTCTGTCAGAAAATCTCTGCTTATTTCCAGGTTGAATCTCTCCTTGATCAGTTTATAGTCACCCCACTATTAAAAAGATGTTGAGACTCTAGAAAAAGTTCAGAGAAGAGCAACCAGGATGATTAGGGGACTGGAGGTTAAAACATACGATTAACGGTTACAGGAACTGGGCCTGACTAGTCTAATGAAGAGAAGGACAGGGGAGACATGATAGCAGTCTTCCAATATTTGAGGGGCTGCCACAGAGAGGAGGGGGTCAACCTATTTTACAAAGCACCTGAAGGCCAGACAAGGAATAATGGATGAAAACTGAACAAGGAGAGTGTCAGCGTTCCAGAAAGCCCCACTCCAATTAAACTATCGGAGCCATATTAGCACCAGAAGCTTCCACGCTGCCAGGGTGATTCAACTTAGAAATAAGGAGGAACTTTCTGACAGAGAGAACAACCAACCTATGGAACAGAAGTTGCCATCGGAAGTTGTGGGAGCTTCATCACTTGAGGCTTTCAAGAAAAGATTAGATTGCCATTTGTCAGAAATGGTGTAGGGTCTCCTGATTGAGCGGGGTGTAGGGTGTGGGTGAGGGGTTGGATTAGATGACCTATAACCGTGATGGCGAACCTATGGCACACGTGCCACAGGTGGCACACGGAGCCATATTTGTGGGCACGTGAGCGTTGCCCTAACTGAGCTTCAGCGGGCATGCGTGCGCTAGCAAGCTGATTTTCGGGTCTTCCGGTCCCACTGGAAGTTGGGAAACGGGCGGTTCCCGGCCTCCGGGGGGGCCTCTGGGTGGGTGGAGGATGCCGTTTTCCCCCTCCCCAGGCTCCTAGAAAGGCTCTGGAGCTTGGGGAGGGGGAAAAACAGGCCTACCGGGCCCACCGGTAACCTTTTTGCCATCGTGTGCCAAAAGTGGGAACACAGGGGTCCATGCGCACATGTGCGGGGTGCGTAAGGTGACCAGACGTCCCGCTTTTGGCGGGACAGTCCCGCTTTTGAGCAATTTGTCCCGCGTCCCGCGGCGTTTTAAAAAAGTCCCGATTTTTCATTCTGCCTCCTGAGTCCCGGCTGCCTCCTGAATCCCCGCTGATGGCTAGAGGGGAAAAAAACTCTTTAAACTCTTGCCGCGGGGCTTCAAAGGGCCGACCTACAGCTGATCAGTGTTAAAAAAAAATGAATAGACCCATGCCTGCAAAAATAGAAAAAACAGCCCCTGTTAACAGCTTCCGCTAGGTTAATTAGCTGCAAAAAGCTGCAAAAAGTTCCTGGAGCAGATTTTTTTCCCCCTAGCTATACTGAAAACAAAGGCGAAAGCGAAACTAAACCTGCAACGTGACAAAATGAGGCAGAGAGAGATTTCTTTCTTTTTCTTTTTCTTTTTCCTCACCAAAAAAGGTAGGTACAAAACTGCAAACAATGGGAAATTTTGGGCAAAAGAGGAGAGTTCAAGATTTTAAAACACAAAAGAAAAAAAGCTCTATTTAACTAGGGAATTGTAATAATTGAGATACTATTAATAATTGTATATTGTGTTGAAAGCAGAAATGGTTAAGTTGTGGTTTGGAGGAATATATGGGGGAAATTATTTGGTTTATTATTATTGGTAAATATAATTAATTGATTTGTAAGAAATTGGATTGCATGGAAATAATTGGAATATTCATGTTCATATTGATTAATATACAAAAAAGATAGTTATATAACTAATTGATTTATATTAAAATGTTGAATTTGTATTAAACAACTGTATTACATAATTACATAATTAACCAATGTGAGGATGGATATAAAAATAGATGACAATGGGAAGGGGTATAATATAGAATAGAAGGGAAAAATTGAATTTGATTAAGATTAGAGATGAGGATGAAGGGTAATATTGTTTTTTTTAAAAAAATAGATGAGGAATAAATATGGCAAAAAGGAAATATAGAAATTGTAAATTTAATTGAAATGACTAAACGCTGTTTAAATTTGTGAACCAGCCAAATATTCTGTTCAAAGAAAATACATTGTATGTTTGTATGTGTGTTTCTAATTATTGCCATTTATTCATATTTGTTCTCTTTTATTCTTTAAAGTTTAACAATTCATTCTTAATCTTAATATCTTTATATTTGCTTGGGGTTGGCTTTATTCCCTTTCATCTTTTTTATTGTACAGCAATCTTTCTCCTCAAACCTACCACCACTCTCTTTTCTTTCCTTCTTACTTTCTCTTCCCCCCACCCTCTTTTTCTCCTCCCTACTTCCTCTTCCTTTCTCCTTCTCCTCCTCTCTTCCTCCCTCTCTTACCCTCACTCCTACTCTAATTTCCATTCCTTCATCCCTCTCTATTGCTGTATCCTTTAATGCATATGAACTACTCAGAGGGCTGAAAAAGTTATTTTTGACTGGTCCTCACACTTTTGACCAGTCCTTGAACTTATGACTGTCCTCACATTTTACATTTTTGCCCTATCTTGTCATCATGGTGAAGAGAAGCAGTTGTGAAATGAGTGACATGGTTGTTAAGAATGCTGCATGGGCATAAATATGAGGATGGTCATAAGTGTGAGGACCAGTCAAAAGTGCGAGGACCTGTCAGAAATGACTTTTTTCAGCCCTCTGGTTAGTCCTTTTGTGCATATGGACTACTCAGAGGGCTGAAAAAGTTATTTTTGACTGGTCCTCACACTTTTGACCAGTCCTCGAACTTACGACTGTCCTCACATTTTACATTTTTGCCCTATCTTGTCACCATGGTGAAGAGAAGCAGTTGTGAAATGAGTGACATGGTTGTTAAGAATACTGCACGGGCATAAATGTGAGGATGGTCATAAGTGTGAGGACCAGTCAAAAGTGTGAGGACCTGTCAGAAATGACTTTTCAGCCCTCTGAGTAGTCCCTATACACATAGCCATGGCCACCCGGTCACATGACCAGCTAGCCACGCCCACCCAGTCACATGACCAGCTAGCCATGCCCACCCAGTCACATGACCAGATATCCACGCCCACAAAATAAGCCACGCCCACAATGTCCCTCTTTACCAATGTTAAAATCTGGTCACCTTAGGGGTGTGGGGTATGGGGGCATTGAATTATGGGTGTGGGCACGGGCATGCGTGACCCCCCCCTGCCTCCTCTCGCTTTTGGTACGTGACAGCAAAAAGGTTAGCCATCACTGACCTATAAGGTCCCTTCCAACTCTGTTAATCTGTTAATTTTTCCATCCATTATTCTTTGTCTGGCCTTCGGGTGCCTTGGAAAATAGCTTGACCTCCTCCTCTCTGTGGCAGCCCCTCAAATACTGGAAGACTGCTATCATGTCTCCCCTGATCCTTCTCTTCTCTTCACTAGACTAGCCATGCCCAGTTCCTGCAACCGTTCTTCGTATGTTTTAGCCTCCAGTCCCCTAATCATCTTCCTTGCTCTTCTCTGCACTTTTTCTAGAATCTCAACATCTTTTTTATAGTGTGGTGACCAAAACTGTTGGCAGCATTCTAGGTGTGGTCTTATTAAGGCTTTATAGAGTGGTTATTAGTACCTCACCTGATCTTGATTGTATCCCTCTGTTCATGCAACTCCACCTAACCGGGACGGGGAAAACCCCAGCTATTCACCGAAGTCGGGCGCGATCTCGGTAGCCTTGACTCCGAACTGAAGTCCTGCAAACTAGGGTTTACGGGAAATCAAGGCCGAGGTGGGGGAGGAAGACCGGGCCGAGCGAGAAAGCCCCGCGAACGCCACAGGCCACCAATTTTAACCCACCAAGTTAAAGCAGCTTTTTTCCAAGTGGGAACGACGTCGCGGGGGACGGAACGCGTGTCGCTCGGTTACGTGCGAATGCGCGGGCGCTCGCGTCCGCGATCGAACTGCATTTTTTTCCCTCCGTGTGTATGTGTGTGAAATCACTTCGATGTCAGGACTTTCCACACACACACACACCCCACTTGAGCCACAACAGCTTCGATCACGATCGGTTACAATAAAAGGAAGGAAAAGCCTCGATTTCCCCAAACCCCGACCCCCAGCGACTCAGATCCGCTCGAAGCCACAGGAAAGCCTCCGATTTAACTACGTCGAGAAAATTGCCGGAACAGTTTTAACCAAGTTTGCGCAATTCTCCCTTTTCCCACCAATCGATTCTCCCCCCCCCCCCCACTCGCCGCCTCCCTCCTCCCTCGCCGCTTAGTTTCTTTCCTCAAACGGGAAAGGCGGACTGAAAGCGGAGCCGGCGGCTTTTTTCCCGTGTGGCTGGCAACGTTTGCGACGGAATTTCTCCGCTCTGCAGCCGCGGGGTGCAAAGCGAACGGCGGTCTGGGCTCGTCGGCGGCGCAACCATGATCCAGGAATTCTGTTTTCTCTCCAGCTTCGTGGCAGGTAGTGGGAAAACGCTGCCACTCGCTGCTGCCTGGGTTGGGGGCGGCGATCCAGCCCCAGGGATGAGTTGGGCGGGGAAGGGGGGGGTGTCAAAGCATCTCTCTCACCTCTCTCTCCCTCTCTTTCTGTTTCTCTCTCTCAGATCTCTTTCTCTCTGATCTCTCTCTCTCAGTCTCTTTCTCTTAGATCTCTCTCTCATCTCTCTCAGATCTCTCTGTGTGTCTCTTTCTCTCTCTCTTTCTTTCTTTCTCTCTCAGATCTCTCTGTCTCTCTCTCTCTCAGTCTTTTTCTCTCTCTCAGATCTCTTTCTCTCATCTTTCTCTCTCAGATCTCTCTCTCAGATCTCTTTCTCTCTTTCTCTCTCTCTCTCTCTCAGATCTCTTTCTCTCTCTCTTTCTCCCAGATCCCCCCTCTCTCTCAGTCTCTCTCTCTCTCTCTCAGATCTCTTTCTCTTAGATCTCTCTCATCTTTCTCTCTGATCTCTCTCTCTCTCTCAGTCTCTTTCTCTTAGATCTCTCTCTCATCTCAGATCTCTCTGTGTGTGTCTCTTTCTCTCCTTCTCTCTTTCTCTGTCTCTCTCTTTCTCTCTCTCTCTCAGATCTCTTTCTCTCTCTCAGATCTCTTTCTCTCTCTCAGAACTCTTTCTCTTAGATCTCTCTCTCTCATCTCTCTCAGATCTCTCTCTCTGTGTCTCTTTCTCTCTCTCTCTCTCAGATCTCTCTCTCTCTGTGTCTCTCCTGCCTACTTTCCAATAATTCCAACTTGCCATTCGATTGTGTGATGCTGAATTTTCTCTGGCACTCTGGAGGCTAAAACATATAAAGAAACTTGGAATGTTGCATCCAGATTTGGTTGCCACAATGTAAAGCAGATGTTGAGACTCTAGAAAGAGTGCAGAGATGAGCAACAAAGATAATTAAGGGAGCTGCTGGAGGCTATAACATATAAGAATGGTTGCTGGAATTGGGTGTGTCTAGTTTAATGAAAAGAAGGACCAGGGGTGACATGATAGCAGTGTTCCAATATCTCAGGGGTTTCCACAAAGAAGAGGGAGTCAAACTATTCTCCAAAACACCTGAGGATAGAACAAGAATCAATGGGTGGAAATCCCAAAGGTGCTTTTTTCAAGAGGCAACTGAACTTTCTGGTTTTTCTTTGAAGATGTTTCGCTTCTCATCCAAGAAACTTCTTCATCTCTGATTGGTTTCCAATGGATGGAAACTAATGAAAGAGAGAAGCAACCTAGAACTAAGGAGAGATTTCCTGACAGTTGATTCAAATAGATATAGGTCTTGGGAATGAGAGTTACGGTGCTGCGTACAACTGCGTACAACTACTTCCATTTAGTGTTGACAGGTGGAAAAAGGTCCATCCTGAGCCTGTGATTTGTGGTTTGCCTCGGGGTTCTGTTCAAACTCTATACGAAACTGCAGGGTGAGGTCATTTGTTGACATGTCTGTTCTCAGTCATCCAGGTCATGGTTGTCCCAAAGGTGCTTTTTCAAGAGGCAATTGGACTTTCTGGTTTTTCTTTGAAGACGTTTCGCTTCTCATCCAAGAAGCTTCTTCAGCTCTGACTGGATGGTGGGGAATGGAAGGATTTATACACCTTGCAGACAGCTGGTCATTTGCATCCTTTTTCACAGAGGGCCATCTATGTCAAAATTGAACAGTCCTCTCTTAACAGAGGGGGAGGGATATGACATCATCTATCTCCAGTCTACAACACAATCCTTTTAGCAGTTCCAAGAAGGCTCCACGCTCATTTGCACCACTCAGGTGACCCTGATGACACAGATAAACCTCCAGGTGACCTTAAGGACTGGCTAAAAGGATGCAAATGATCAGCTGTCTGCAAGGAGTATAAATCCTTCCATAGACTCCTATATATACTCCTATACTCACCCCATTCCTAAGAGGTCTGTAAAGGAGGTGTGCATAAGAGCACCAGCTGCCTATCGTCCCTGTCCTGCTGTCCCCATTTATTTATATTCATTTCCTTCGTTCATGTCCATGTTCATATTCATATCTGCTATCTTGTACCTGTTTGACAAACTAACAAATAAATAAATAAATAAATAAATAAATCTGGAGATGAGGCAGAGACATCATGAACAAATGACATTAAAAAAGCTAGGTTTGTGCTGCACTGCCTGAGAATGAGCCTTGGAGCTTGCTTTTTAAATTCTTCTTCTTGTGCCATATCTGTCATCGGACGTTGGCAATCATGTTGGCGATCCTATTTTTATCAACAGCTACACAAAAAAGTGCTGTTGAGTTTTGTCCAAACCAGTCCCTTAGATTTTGAAGCCATGATGATCTTCTTCTGCTTGGACCTCATTTGCCTTCAGTTTTCCCTGGAGGATTAAGTGAAGGATGGCGTATTTTTCCGAGTGTCGCATCACATGTCCAAAATATTCTAACTGTCACTTTTTTATGGTTTTGATGATTTCCCTTGGCTTTCCCAGGCGGCTTATCACCACCTCATTTCTGATTTTGTCAACACTTTTTTAATAGTAACTTTATTAAAAATATATATAATTACAAAAATAAAGAACAAATATAAACTAAAAGCAATCAAAGCACAGAAAGAAAAAATAGAAGATGCAGAAAAAATAGAAGAAAAATAGAAAAAAAATCAGAGAGAAAAGAAAAAAATAGGAATATGGTAAAGAAAAAGAAAAGTGACTTTTCATTACAAGAATAAACAGGTAACTTATCACATTCTCTTAAAATACAACAAACGATCGCTTCTTCTCATATTCCAACTCTTTTATCTATAAAGACATCCTTAAAAACATGGTCATTTCAGTACTCATCAGCAAAACCTGATCAGTACAATGCTGTCTTGCAGTCTCCTTGCAAGGAGCAGCTGTGTGGAAAACTTATGGGTGATCTCCAGTCTTTTCCTTCTCCAGAGAGGAATTACGAAGAGCCAATCTTCTTGCTAGCTCTTCATTCCACTGCAGTCATAGAATTATAGAATCAGGACTGGAAGGGACCTTGGAGGTTATTTAATATAACCGCCTGCTCAATACCATCCCTGACAAAGGGTCCAGAATTGGTCCAAGTCCAACCTATTCTTGAAAGTCATCAACTCTGCTTTTCCCAGTGCCATCTTCAGTCTCCCATTTGTTCCCTAGAAGTTCTATGAGCTTTTTCTTACTTGGCAGAAATTCATTCCCCTCTTGCCAGCAACTGTCTTCCCAAGCTCCGACCTCCCTCCCAAAATATTGGGGGACAAAATTTAGCAGATTTTATATTCTGAGACTGCCCTTGGAGAAGTATGAGTATCTTATCAGGTGAGGTGGTATGAGATGGGTCCGTGAGTCCTTACAAAAAGGTACAGTATAGTAGGATGTGAGCTGTAGTTTCAATGGCCCCTTGTCTACTGAGTCACGGTCTCTGCTCATACGGGATTTTCTTACATCAATCTTCCAAAACTGCTGTGGGAGTTAAAAATTAAAATTGATGCATTGGATGCCATATTGTTTCTCATGATAGTTTGATGGGAGTTTAAGAATACATTATTTTTCAGCATTAGTGAGGCAAATAATTTTGATTTTGGTTGAATTAAAATTAAAATGAGAAGAATAGAATAGAATAGAATAGAATAGAATAGAATAGAATAGAATAGAATAGAATAGAATAGAATAGAATAGAATAGAATAGAATAGAATAGAACTGTTTAGTTTAGTTTAGTTTAGTTTAGTTTATTCATACTTATATGCTGCCCTTCTCCCGAAGGACTCGGGGTGGCTCACAACAAGAAAACAACAGAACAATAAAAATTAGCACTAAAATAATCCAATTAAAATCCCCAACAGGTTAAAACTAACAACTCCCAGCAGATCAGGAGATTTGTTGGAAAAGCCATGTCTTCAGGTCACCACGGAAAGAGCGGAGGTCCAGTGGGTAATTCGTTCCAGGGAACAGAATAGAATAAAAGTTGGAAGGGATCTTGGAGGTCTTCTACTCCAGCCCCCTCCTCAGGCAGAAAACTCTATACCATTTCAGACAAATCGCTGTCCAGTCTCTTCTTAATAACTTCCAGTGTTGGAGCATTCACAACTTCTGGAGGCAAGTGGTTCCACTGATTAATCGTTCTAACTGTCAGGAAATTTCTCCTTAGTTCTATGTTGCTTCTCTCCTTGATTTGTTTCCACCCATTGCTTCTTGTCCTGCCCTCAGGTGCTTTGGAGAATAGCTGACTCCCTCTTCTTTGTGGCAGCCTCCACAAAAGAAGGACCCCCCTAGTCCTTCTTTTCATCAAACTAGAGTCAGACCCAAACCTTTCTAGGTTCTAGGACCAGACTTTAAAAACACTGAAAATGTTTTATAGGTGGCACATGTCTCCAACCAGACTAGGAAAAATACAGCCCAAAAATAGTCCGATCTGCTGGAAGTGTAAGAAGACACAAGGAACCTTCTATCATTTATGGTGGACATGCCCGGCAGCAAAGAAATTTTGATCTAACATCAGAAAATGGTTGGAACAAATAATAGAAACCCAGATAGATAAAGAACCAGAAACGTTTTTACTAGGAATGTTTAATAAACCATACCCTAAAGATATTAAATATCTCACAATCCACATACTAACAGCTACAAGAATAATATATGCAAAAAATTGGAAGCAAGAAAAAAACGCCAAATGAAACAGATTTAATAGAAAAAATTCTAGAATGTGCTGAAATGGATAGGTTAACCAAAGAAATACAAGAAAGAGAAGAATCAGATTATAAAATTTGGAATAAATGGTATAATTGGTTAAAAATTAGAAATAAACAAAAAACCTAGAGGGGAAATATTACCGGTATAGAAAATGTCATTATACTAAGGAGAGGTGAAGAAATATATAACAAGCAGAATGTCACTTTGAAACAATGCTTAAGAAGGAAACATAATTTCTTTTTGTTTATATGTTGTATAAATGTTTGTTGTGTGTATGTCATGTTATGTTTTTTTTAATATTATACTCTAATAAAAATTTATTTTAAAAACGCTGCTTTAAGCTGTCTCAGGGGCTGGGAAACACCAAAAAAAGAGAGAGAGAGAGAGAGAGAGAGAGAGAGAGAGAGAGAGAGAGAGAGAGAGAGAGACTAGCAGGTGTATTTGTGCAGGGAGGAAGGCAAGTAGGAATGACTGAGCCAGCACCAGGCCTATGCCACAATTTTGTTGTGAGGATAAAAGTGGAGGAGTGCCAGGATACAAATATAGCATTGCATATCTATCGTGTTGTTATCTCCATTTGCAGAAGTTTTCACTTCCAGAGCAACTTTTGATGTTTCTTTACCCAGGGTTTCATAATTCCACAATTTGTACTTTCGGTCTCGTTTCCCTGATCATCTAGCCATTTCCAATCATTTTTTTTATTGTTTTGTCCACACCCTTTCTAATTCTTGCAGATCTGCCTATTTCGGGGAAGGCAGGAAATCATATGTGAAGCAACCACGATATGTAAGCTAGAAAAATGGAAGGGGAAGACACTTTGCACCATCAGCAAATTAAGACTCAAATCAAATTATTTGTGGTTTGGCGTTTTTTAAAATTTTGAAATCCCAGTTTGGAGGGCAGGGAGTGATGAAATCATTTTTCTGCCTGTCATGGAGCAGCAAGGAGTCATAGGAGCTATATGATATCCAAAAGCAAGCAGGTTATTAAAAATATGAAGAACGGTTACCCAAATTGGGTCTGTCTAGTTTACTGAAAAGAAGGACAAGGGCAGTGGTGGATTTCAACATTTTTTTACTACCGGTTCTAAATTGATTGACGACCAGAGACATGCCTGCTTGGTTCTAAGCCGGAAAATTTAAAAAGGGACTTATGGTATTTGGCACTACATATCATTACAGCGGCGAGACTGACGTATGCTCAACTCTGGAAAAATCAAAATATCCCAACAGAGGAGGCTATTATAAAAAAAAATTTAGAATGCGCGGAAGCAGCTATGCTAACTAAAAAATTAAAGGATAGAGAGCAAACACAAATAGGTTTAGCTTGGGAAAAATTTTTATAAATGGTTAGAAAAGAGGAAACTATAACCCACATTAGATGAGGAATGGTATTTAATGAGAAACCTATATTATATAAGATAAGTGAGGTCGGATAGACCTAACTGATGTATTAAGGTATATAAGCTCTTCTGTCTTCTCCGGAATATAATATAGAGTTATAGTACCGAATATTTGTTTATTAAGGTACTATATGGAAGTATGTTTGTTTATTGTTGTATTGTTCTTTGTGTGTCATTTTATGTTGTGTTGTCTTTTCTTTTTAACCGAAATATAAATAAATATTTTTTTAAAAAAAAAAAAAAACATTTTTTACTACCGGTTCTGTGAGTCTGGCTTTGTGGGCGTGGCATGGCTTGGTGGGCATAGCTTGGTGGGCGTGACGGGAAGGATACTGTAAAATCTCCATTCCCACCCCAGTCCAGGGGAAGGTTACTGCAAAATCCCCATTTCCTCCCAATCAGCTGGGACTCTGGAGGCAGAGAATAGATGGGGACGGGGCCAGTCAGAATTTTTACTACCAATTCTCCAAACTACTCAACATTTCCGCTACCGGTTCTCCAGAACTGGTCAGAACCTGCTGAAAACATGATAACACTGTTCCAGTATTTGAGGGGCTGCCACAAAGAAGAGAATTCTCCAAAGTACCTGAAGGCAGGACAAGAAACAACGGATGGAAACTAACCAAGGAGAGGACCAATCTGGAACTAAGGAGAAATGTCCTGACAGTGAGAACAATAAAACCAGTGGAATATCTTGCCTTCAGAAGTTGTAGGTGCTCCATCACTGGAGGCTTTTAAGAAGAGACTGGACAGCCATTAATCTGAAAGGGTAGACTTTTCTTCTGGGGCAGCGGGTTGGGCTAGATGACCTCCAAAGTCCCTTCCAACTTTGTTACTCTGTGAAACCTCTGCACCTCTTCCCCACCCCCCCAATGTTTGCGTAAGAGTCCATTTATTTAATAAGACTGTAATAAGATCTCTCAGAACAAAAGGCTTGTTTTGGACTCTAAAATTTAGAGACTTCCTTCTTCCTTGCTTCCACCCTTCCTCCCTCCCTCCCTTGACAATCTCATAAAAAGGGTTTATATTTCATCACCGAAGCCAATTTCATTTCCTTCCTGTGCTTTTCAGCTATCGCCACCCAAAGTTTGGTCCATGATGGAACACCATCCTGTCCAACAGCATCCATCCAAGGCGGGCACATCTCTCTCTCCGATGGATATCGTCCAGGAAGTATCCTCACCTTTGCCTGCCCAGCTGGCACTTACCCATATCCCACACCCAGCCGGATCTGCCAGCCGGATGGCAAATGGACTCCAATGCAGCATCCTAGTGGAAAGCCAACCAAAGTAGCACGTTGCAGAGGTATGTGTTAGGCTACTATTTACACTTAACGTTAACCAATTATAACTACAGGTAGTCCTCGATTTACGGTCATCATCGTGCCCAACATTTCTGTCGCTAAGCAAAGCAAGACAGTAGTCAACTGAGTTTTGCCCCCATTTTATGACCTTTCTTTTTTTATTTTTATTTGATTTATATGCCGCCCTTCTCCGGAGACTCAGGGCGGCTTACAATGCGTTAAGCAATAGCCTTCATCCTTTTGTATATTTATACAAAGTCAGCTTATTGCCCCCACAAACTGGGTCCTCAATTTACCTACATTAGAAAGGATGGAAGGCTGAGTCAACCTTGAGCCTGGGGAGATTCGAACTTGCAGTAATTGCAGGCAGCTGAATGTTAATAACAAGCTATTGGCCAGCTGCGCCACCAGGCCCCTTCTTCCCCCAGTTGTTATGTGAATCACTGCAGTTGTACAGTTAGTGATCCGGTTGTTAAGTGGATCTGGCTTCCCCCTTGACTTTGCTGGTCAGAAGTTTGCAAAAAGAGATCACGTAATCCCGGGACCGTCATGCAACCGTCATAAATACGAGCCAGTTGTCAAGCCTCCGAATTTCGATCATGGGGGTGCTGCAATGGTCATAAGTGTGAAAAACGGCCATAAGTCACTTTTTTCAGTGCCACTGTAGAATAGAATAGAATAGAATAGAATAGAATAGAATAGAATAGAATAGAATACTTTATTGTCACTTCAAATGTACACTAATCAGTGTACATTAAAATAAAATTACATTGCATACACTGTGACTTCAAACGGTCACTAAATGAATGGTTGGAAGTTGAGGACTGTCTCTAGAGGCTCTCTGGTTTGTTCAGTGGTTCCCGCTGGATGGTGGAGTATATTTATTTTTGATAAACCCAAATGTTTGATTTATTCATGAATGCTGGTCTGTTTGTATGAATGGTTATCAGCCAAGGTTTCTATAACGTCTTCATTCTGTATTAATTTAAAATCATCACATTTCCTGACACCCGTTGGCATTTTTATTTTTTTTCCCTCTTATCAGTTCTTATTTGTGCTTATGCAATGGTAGGAATTTCCTAGGCGATCCCAGAATGCCATTACAATCTCACGTGCCAATATCAAAAGTCCAAAAGATAACAAAAAAACACTGCACAAACTCCATATTTATTTTTTCCCTCGAAATGTTTGGAAAGGGAAGGGCAGTGAACACCTTTCCAAGCAATGGGGCATGTAGAGTTCTGGTCAACAATGAAAACTTCACATAATTTTGCAACGATTTCTTTAAAAATTAGCAAAGATGTAAACACTTGTGATAATATTGGCCTTGCAGGAGTCCCACATGAATTGAGGGACTTAATTGGCGCTTCTCATCTTTAAGCAGCTTTTTGGACCAGGTTTCCCAGCAAAAATTAGTAATCCTTGATTTACAGCAGTTCATTTAGTGACCTTTTGAAGTTACAACGGCAGTGAAAAAAGTGACTTATGACTGTTTTTCACACTTAACAACCGGTGCAGCATTCCCAGGATCCCAGGATCAAAATTTAGATGCTTGGCAACTGACTCGTATTTATGACAGTTGCTTTCCAGTACTTTATTTGTCCTGGTTTTCAGGCCAAGGGCTATGAGATTTAGGGTGCAAGACCCAAGACTGCCACTGGGACAACATAAGGGGAAGACCATCTTAACTCTTTTCTGCCTCTAGTGACTGTCTGAATTTTTGCAGACCTGATTTGGTAGATGCACAGAATTGAGGCAATGCTACAATAGCTGTTCTGCAAGAGAAGGAACCGGAAATCTGTCAGTCTCTTGGGGTAAATTACCCTGTTTCCCAACTGGAAAATAAGTCCTACCATGATTTTTCAGGATGCTCGTAATATAAACCAGGGGTGAAATGCTCCCGGTTCGGACCAGATCACCCGATCCAGTAGTGATGGTGGCAGGTGGTTCGGAGAACTGGTAGCAAAAATCCCTGTGCCTCCCCCACCATGCCCAGCTGAGCTGCACGATCATCAGAGGCTTTTTTTTTTACTTTTAAAAGCATTTTTTCTACAACCTCTTCCGACGAAAAAATGCTTTTAAAAGTAAAAAATAAGCCTCTGATGATTGTGCGGCTCAGCTGGGATCATCAAAGGCTTTTCAAAGCATTTTTTAAAAAGCCTCTCTGACGATCCCAGCTGAGTTGCCTGATCAGCAGAGAGGCATTTTTTAAAAAGCCTCTCTGACGATCCCAGCTGAGTTGCCTGATTGGCAGAGGCTTTTCAAAGCATTAGCAAAAATGCTTTGAAAAGTTTTTTTAAAATAAAGTTGGCCACGCCCACCCAGTCACATTACCCCTCCCACCAAGCCACGCCCACAGAACCGGTAGTAACCTGATATAAGCCGTACCCCCAAGATAAACCCTAGTTAAGATTCTCAGCCAGATGGATGCATTTAGCACCATATTTTCTCCAAAATAAGACCTAACCAGAAAATAAGCCCTAATGCATCTTTTGGAGCAAAAATTAATATAAGACCCAGTCTTATTTTCGGGGGAAACACGGTAGATAGGAACCACTACCAGATGAGCTAATTCGACTTTATTGTAAAGCTACATTGACAGAATCTTGCAAACTACAAATAGCCCCCTCCCTCAATCTCCTCTACAGCCTGAGAAACTAGGGAGGGTCTCTTCTGAGCTTCTTGCCTCACCCAATTATCCAGTTGCAGCCTATGCTGTCTCTTATCTGACCGATTCCTTTGTAGCATCTCTTTGCCCAGTCTCCCAAGGTCTTTGCCACATACTATTACAAAACCTTTGGGAAACCAGAAAAGAGAGATTTGGAGCATTTCCTCGATAAGTGACGACATTTAAAGATGGCATCATTCCGTTGGATTGTGAGCATGGAGTTCAAGTCCTGGCAAATCCTGAGCTGCTGTGTTTCCCCAAAAATAAGACCCAACCAGAAAATAAGCCCTAGCATGATTTTTTTACAATGCTCCTAATATAAGCCCTACCCCCTATCAGTTAAGATAGTCAATTGGGGGGAGGGCATGACCAGCACAGGAAGCGGCAAATGCACAATGGTGTCTGGCAGCAGCTGTAGCCTGCCAGCCCCTTGGCACACTCTGGGACTGTGCAGCACTGGTGAGTCCAAACGCTCAACCGTTGGGCTGGCCCTCAAAGCAGTAGGCAGAGGTAGAGGCATGGATGGGGCAGGAGGTATGTGACTCACCTATGCTTCATGGTCTGGGCAGCGCCAAAGTGCACTGGCCAAGGGACTGGTGGCTTGCGGCGGTGGCTGGACACCGTCGGCCCCTGTGCATTCACCGCCTCTTGTGCACGTGCCAGTGGGGTGAGGTGCCCAGCCTGATCATCCTGATACCATACCATGTTTCCACAAAAATAAGTCCTAATGCATCTTTTGGAGCAAAAAAAAAAAAAAAGTTATAAGACCGGGTCTTATTTTCGGGGAAACAAAGGAAGTACTGCCACCTTTGCCCAAGAGCTTACATGGGTTAGTGGTGAAGGTGTTGGATTAGGTATAAGGCAGTGGTGCAATCCAAATTTTTTTACTACCGGTTCTGTGGGCGTGGTGTGGGTTGGTGGGCATGGCTTGATGGGTGTGGTGTGGCTTGGTGGGCGTGGCTTGGTGGGCGTGGCAGGGGAAGGATACTGCAAAATCCCCATTCCCTCCCCACTCCCGGGGGAAGGATATTGCAAAATCTCCATTTCTACCCCACTCTGAGGCCAGCCAGAGGTGGCATTTCCCAGTTCTCCGAACTACTCAAAATTTCTGCTACCAGTTCTCCAGAACCTGTCAGAACCTGCTGGATTTCACCTCTGGTATAAGGAGACCCAGATCCTAGTCCCTGTTCAGCTACAGAAGCTCCCTGTATGATGCCAACGGTGATTTCTCTGCCTGCCCCACATCACAGGGTTAGTGGAACAAGTGCTACGGAGTCCCAAAGGTACTTTTTCAAAAGGCAACTGGACTTTGTTTTCAAGATGTTTCAAGAACTGAAGAAGCTTCTTGGATGAGAAGCGAAATGTCTTCAAGGAAAACCAAAGTCCAGGTTGCCTTTTGAAAAAGCACCTTTGGCACTACCACGACCTGGATAACTGAGAATCTTCATCGACTGCTATGGAGAAAAGGCAAGATACAACTTATATTTGAAACAGGACCTGTACTTTCATTGTCCCATTTTAACTCTGCACCTAAATTTTGGATCTTTTGGTTGTGATCTCTTCCCTTTTTTTGCAGATATACGCTGCCCAGGGCAGATGAACTTTGAAAATGGCTTTTTCATCCCACGGCGAACTTTCCACCCCATTGGCGACATCCTGAGTTTTCAGTGTTCTGATGGCTACCAGCTCCTCGGCTCATCCCAGCGATACTGTCAGCCCAACGGCATATGGAATGGGACCTCCCCTGTTTGTGATGATGGAGGTAAATTAAACGCAAAAGAAAATAGTGGGGAAGATAGGTGAAGCAAAAGATGTAGGAAAAAGAGAAGAAAGACAAGGCCTTGACTTCCGACTCTCTTTGGTGTGGATAAAGGTAAAGGTTCCCCTTGCACATATGTGCTAGTCGTTCCCGATTCTAGGGGGCAGTGCTCATCTCCGTTTCAAAGCTGAAGAACCAGTGCTGTCCGAAGATGTCTCCGTAGTCATGTGGACGGCATGACTAAATGCCAAAGGCACACAGAACGTTCTTACCTTCCCACCAAAGGTGGTCCCTATTTTTCTACTTGCATTTTTTACGTGCTTTCGAACGGCTATGTTGGCAGAAGCTGGGACAAGTAACAGGGGCTCACCCCTTTACGCGGCACTAGGGATTCGAACCGCTGAACTGCCGACCTTTTGATCAACAAGCTCAGCGTCTTAACCACTGAACCACCGCATCCCACAAAGGAGGGGGCACCCGGAGTTGAACCAGGGATCTCTTGATCTGCAGTCAAATGCTCTACCACTGAGCTATACCTCAAACCTCAACTTTTTACTTTTACATAGTAATACAAACTAGCCATTTGAATAAGAACAAACCTATCTAATCAGTAAAACCCAAAACCAAAGTTTCATTTTTTTCCTCCCACCTCAAGCACAAAGTCCAGAAGTGGTTTCCAAGTAGAAACAAAAATAATTGTGTTTTTTTTTGTTTAAACAGAGCACTCAATTTAGCCATCTCTGCTAACTCCATCAGTAGCCATTCATCCATTGTGGGAATCTAAGTGTCTTTCTTTTTTTGTGCATAAAGTAATCTGCTGTCAACATAGATAAGATCCAACATCCCATTTCCCCCCTCCCCCCCCCCCAAGCTGGGGTGAAATCCAGCAGGTTCTGACAGGTTCTGGAGAATTGGTAGCAGAAATTTTAGTGCAGAACCGGAAAATACCACCTCTGACTGGCCCCAGAGTGGGGTGGGAATGGAGATTTTGCAATATTCTTCTCCCAGGAGTGAGGGGGGAATGGGGATTTTGTAGTATCCTTCCTCTGGAGTGGGGTGGGAATGAGGCTTTTGCAGGGTCCTTCCCCTGCCACGCCCACCAAGCCACGCCACCAAGCCCCACTACGTCCACCAAGCCACGCCCACAGAACCGGTAGTAAAAAAATTGGATTTCATCGCTGTCTTTATCCATTAAACCCCAAAGAAAAGTTTCTGGTTTTATCTTGATATTCACTTTGAGAATCTTCTGTAGTAAGATGTGAATCCTACTCCAATATTTCTTTGCTTTGTCAAAATGGAAGTAAATCTTATTAGGCTTTCAATATGTCCGCTTCTCATAGATGTTCCTTCCTGGCTCTGGAGATGCCAGCTCCCCCGCCACCTCTGGTTGATCTTGTTTGGGGTTCAGAGAAGGCTTTTGTGTACATTTTGGAAATACACTAAACAATCTCCAGGCTAAATATCTCAGTTGTTCAACTTAAACAAGATGGATGGCCGTCACCACGTCTTGTGGTAGCGACATCCATGCACGTTTTCACACAGTACGGGTAGTCCTCGATTTACGACCACAATTGAGCTCAACAATTGAGCGGTTAGGTCAGTTTTGCTCCGTTTTACGACCTTTCTTGCCACCGTTGTTAAGTGAATCGCTGCAGTTGTTAAGTTAGTAACATGGTGGTTAAGTGAATCTGGTTTCCCCCATTGACTTTGCTTGTCGGAAGGTCAAAAAAAGGGGATCGTGTGACTCTGAGACATTGCAACGGTCATAAATACAGGCCAGTTGGCCAGCATCTGACTTTTGGTCATGTGACCATGGGGTTGCTGCAGCAGTTGTAAATGTGAAAAATGGACACGAGTTCCCTTATTTCAGTGCCGTTGTAACTTTTGAACAGTTACTAAATGAACTGTTCGGTATACCGTAAGTCAAGGCTGTGTACTGTGCTGTAAAAATGAAGTAATTTGGAACCAGTATGAGAGTTAGGCACTTACCGGTATCTCCCCACATCATCTGCTACAGTCTCGTCTCTACCATTGTGTTGATGTTGTCGTCTTCTCTCCACAGTCGGACACTGCCTCACCCTTGCTGTGCCCCCGGGGGCGATTGCTACAGGAAAAGGCAACCGTCTGGGTGATCGGATCTCATTCAAATGTCAGACTAACTTAGATTTGATTGGATCATCCCAACGGGTCTGCATGCTGGACGGCGAATGGTCTGATGCGCAGCCAAGTTGTAGAGGTACGCATTTCAAGAACACCTCTTTTTCCAGCGGGTTAGATTAGATGATCTCCGGGGTCCCCGCTTATCCTTTAGCTTCTGCGTCCTTTTTTTTTTTTTAACATTCATTAGACGCATTTCCTTTTTAATTACCCTGGCTCCTTTATCATCTTTCTATATTCCTTTTTTATATTGCATTGAGTAATAATTGTATAACCTCAGCAATTATTTGTTCATTCAAAGATAATACCTTTATAGAATAGAATAGAATAGAATAGAATAGAATAGAATAGAATAGAATAGAATAGCAATAGCAATAGCAATAGCAATAGCAATAGCAATAGCAATAGCAATAAGACTTATATACCGCTTCACAGAGCTTTACAGCCCTCTCTAAGCGGTTTACAGAGCCAGCATATTGCCCCCAGACAATCTGGGTCCTCATTTTACCGACCTCGGAAGGATGGAAGGCTGAGTCAACTTTGAGCCTGCTGAGATTCGATCTGCCAAACTGCTGGCAGCAGGTGATCAGCAGAAGTAACCTGCGGTACTGCACTCTAACCACTGTGCCACCGCAGAATAGAATAAAATAGAAGAATGAATAGAATAGGACTATAAATAGAATAGGAACCTGCTTCATATCACCTGACGGAACATTGTGGGATATTTTTATTTATTTTTTAAATCTATTCATTTGTATCCTCCCTTTGTTTTTGTATCTCCCTTTTTGTATCCGTGAATGCCACTGCTTTCCCTTTGAAATAACAGATCCAAACAGAAGCATTTATTAAAACGGTTTTATACCAAGTAAATATACCCCATGCTGTTTGCTTGACATCTCAAGAAAAGCTAATTTTATTTATAGAATAGAAGCCAAATTCTTCTATTACAGTAAGATTGGAGTTTGGATGGAACAAACTTCAATTTTTGCTTTCACAGTTTGGCTTCTATTTTATCCCCATATTTTATCTTCCTTTTTCTTCCTCGTTAGATTCAATTTTCCTGTCAGAAAACTAAATTCTTGGCCCTTCCACTATCTGCCCATAGGGGGAACCACATCAATCCATGTTTTAAAAAAGGGGAAGAAAAAGGGGGATGGAACTTTGATTTCAGGCTTCTGTCTGCCATCTTGATTTTTTTCACCTTCTTTGGGACCACCATCTTCCAAAAATTGCTTCTTAATTGAATCAAACAGAGAAACCAAAAAGAAAATGATACAAAAAAAAAAATGAAAAAAGGAAAAAGAAAAGCAAAACCAATCAATTATATATATGTAACTAAGGAGATTTAAAAAAAAAAAATCACAGTCACCCTGATTTTTTTTTTTTTTTTTGCCAAGAATGCCAATGTTTTTTCTGCATGGTGAAGGCAAGCATTTGGAGATATTTTTTTAACATGTCTAACAAAGGGACTCTACATGTTAATAAAATATACCTGGATTAAAGGATTTTAAGACATTTTTAGTTACCAGGCTAACTGCAGATAGCCCACAATTCAGCCCCAAATTTCTGTTGTTAATGAGGCAGTTGCTAAATGAATTTTGCCCCATTTTACAACCTTTCTTGGCAAAGTTGTTTAGTGAATCTTTTTTTTTTTTTTTTAAATTGATTTATATGCCGCCCTTCTCCGGAGACTCAGGGTGGCTTACAATGCGCTAAGCAATAGCCTTCATTCTTTTTTATATTTATACAAAGTCAGCTTATTGCCCCCACAAACTGGGTCCTCAATTTACCTACCTTAGAAAGGATGGAAGGCTGAGTCAATCTTGAGCCTTGGAGAGATTCAAACCAGCAGTAATTGCAGGCAGCTGGTCTTAATAACCAGCTTAATAACAGGGTGCCTTAGACCACTGTACTACCAAGGCTCTGCAAATCACTGTAGTTGTTAAGTTAGTGACAGGGTTGTTAAGTGAATCTGACTTCCCCATTGACTTTGCTTGTCAGTAGATCTCACATAACCCCTGGACACAGCAGCTGTCATAAATATGAATCAGTTGCCAAACATCTGACTTTTGATCATGTGACCATGGGAATGCTGCAATGGTCGTAAGTGTGAAAAATTTAGTCATTTTTCATGCCGTTGTAACTTCGAATGGTCACTAAATGAACTGTTGTAAGTCAAGGACTACCTGTATTCAGCCAATGCTTTTTTTCTGATGTTTTGAAATAACCTGTTAAATAAAGATGTATTTGTATTTCCAGTATTTGACAATAACAATATTGCAGGGATTTAGGGGGAAAAAAAAAAGAATTACTTTCTTATGTTGGAAAGATGAATGGTAAATCCATGGTCAAATTAATTACAAAATATTGTTCAGAGCAATTTCTTATCAATCAATCAATCTATCAGAATAGAGGTGGAAGGGACCTTGGAGGACCAACCCATTGCTCAAGCAGGCCACCTTCAACGATGCCCTTGAAGTGATGTCCCAGTGCCTGGAGGCTGTACGGATCTGGATGGGGAGGAACAGGCTCAAGCTCAACCCTTCCAAGACTGAGTGGCTGTGGCTCCCGGCATCCCGATATAGTCAGTTGACTCCATCACTGACTATTGGGGGCGAGTCATTGGCCCCCACAGAGAGGGCTCGAAATCTGGGAGTCCTCCTGGATATGCAGCTGTCCTTGGAGGAACATCTGACGGCTGTAACCAGGGGGACCTTTTGTCAGGTTCGCCTGATTCGCCAGTTGCGGCCCTTTCTTGATCGGGATTCCCTGTGCACAGTCACTCACGCCCTCGTCACCTCTCGCCTTGACTATTGCAACGCTCTCTACATGGGGCTCCCCTTGAGGAGCACCCGGAGGCTCCAGCTGGTCCAGAATGCAGCAGCGCGGGTAGTGACGGGAGCAGCATGGCGCTCCCATGTAACACCGCTCCTGCGCGAGCTGCACTGGCTTCCAGTTGTCTTCCGGGTGCGCTTCAAGGTGTTGGTTATCACCTTTAAAGCGCTCCATGGCATAGGGCCTAGCTATCTTCGAGACCGCCTGCTGCTACCAACGACCTCCCATCGACCCGTGCGCTCCCACAGAGAGGGCCTCCTTGGGGTGCCATCAGCCAGACAATGTAGGCTGGTGACCCCCAGGGGGAGAGCCTTCTCTGTGGGGGCACCTACCCTCTGGAATCAGCTCCCCCCAGAGATAAGGAGAATCCAAGACCTCAGTGCCTTCCGTCGCGCCCTTAAAACCCTTTTATTTAAACAAGCCGGGCTGGCTTAAGATGAAATTTTTAACTGTTTTTAAATGTTTTAAACGTTTTTAATTGGTAAATGAGTTTTAATTGGGCCAAATTTATATATCTTTTAATTGTTTTTAATATTTGTTCTGCATGTTTTTTAATCTGGCTGTACACCGCCCTGAGTCCTCAGGGAGAAGGGCGGTATAGAAATCCAATATAAAATAAAATAAATAAATAAAAGCAGGAGATCCTATACCATTTCTTTTCTTTTTTTTTTAGAAATATTTTTATTCAACATTTTTAATCTTTAAAATCACAATTACACTATTATCGGAATTTTTTCTTAATTTCAACTTATTCACAGGCCCCTTGTTTTATACATACACATTCTTATTTCATAGTTACTTATTTTTATAATATATACAATATTTACATGTCTATTACTCTCTAAAATATACATTTTATCCATTTATTATCTTTTCTGTACATTCACTATACGGTAATTTTAGACTTCTTTTCAAGCCAATTATACCACCTATTCCATGTCTCATAATACACTGTTTCCTCCTTGTCCCTTAATTCCATCGTTAATTTGTCCATTTCTGCATATTCTAGCACCTTTTTTATAATCATTGTGTTTGATGGAGTGTTTTCTTGCTTCCGATTTTGGGCGAATGTGATTCTGGCTGTGGAGATTATATGGAGCATGATGTATTAAATTTCTTTGCTTATATTACCTTTTATTATACCCAAAAGGAATAACTCTGGCTTCATATCAATTTTTTGTTCAACAATTTCCTCCAACCATTTTTTAAATTTTTGTCCAATAATCCCTGGCTTTGGGACATGTCCACCACATGTGGTAGTAGGTCCCTTGTTGGTGGTTGCATTTCCAGCAATTTGGTGGTCTATTGGGAAACATTTTGGCCATCTCGCTGGGGATAAATGCCATCTATAAAACATTTTGTAAATGTTCTTGTTTGTGGCCGACATCATCATTTTATAATTATTAAAAAAAATATTATAAGATCCTATACCATTTCAGGCAAATGGCTGTCCAGTCTCTTCTTAAAAACCTCCAGTGATGAAGCACCTACAACTTCTGAAGGCAAAGTTGTTCCACTGGTTAATTGTTCTCACAGTTAGGAAGTTTCTCCTTGATTCCTGGTTGCTTCTCTCCTTGGTTAGTTTCAATCCATTGTTTCGTGTCCTGCCCTGCTTTGGAAAATAAGCTGACCCTCTCTTCTTTGTGGCAGCGTCTCAAATACTGGAATCAATGCCTTAATCTCTTTTGCATTAACACGAGATGTTCCCTTTTTCCCATCCCCACAGCCAGTTATTCTTATGACCGAGCTGAAGATGTTAAAGCTGAATTTGGAGCCTCGTTGACGGATGTTCTGAGTGAAGTATCCACCTTCGAGTTGGACCCTTCTGGGACAGTTCAAAGTAAGTCTTTTTTCTCCAGAGCAGCTAGTCTAATGGGTGTACTAGTTAAAAGCGGCAGGCAGGAATTTGTACTTTTCAGACTCATGATATACTGTTAATGTAGCTTTAGTAAAATAATTTTCACTCAGCTAGTCAATTTTCCTGTCTGGTTTAGCTGGGAAGGCCAACGTAACATGATTAGTAGCCATTCGTAGCCTTATCCTCCATGAATTAGACCAGTATTTTTCAGTCTTGGTAATTAAGATATATGAACTTCAATTCCCAGAATTCCCTAGCCAGTATGCTGCCTATGGAATTCTGGGAATTGAAGTTCAGGAATTCTGGAAGTGGAAATTCTCAAGTTCTCAAACACTGAGAAACATTGTTATAAATGGTAGTTCCAACATGATCTTCACAAATCTCTTAAAAATTAATTTTGGAGGAAACTATGGCACTTAAAGAGGGCCCATTTAGTGTTGAGGGTAAAACTGCCCTCTGCAAAGTAGTGCAACGGACCAGACAGCGAATAGATACGATGATTAGCAAAACACACAGATAGTCACAGACTCTGAACGTTTAAAGAAAAATAAACAGTCTATTGATTAGGAGCTAGATAAGGGTTAAAATCCAGCAGGTTCTGATAGGTCCTGGGGAACCGGTAGCAGAAATGTTGAATAGTTTGGAGAACCGGCAAATGCCACCTCTGGCTGGTCCCAGAGTGGGGCAGGGATGGAGATTTTGCAATATCCTGTCAGAGTAAATGTCTAACAGTCTCACAACCACAATCAAAGGTTGACTCAGCCTTCCATCCTTTCTAAGGTAGGTGAAATGAGGACCCAGTTTGTGGGGGCAATAAGCTGACTTTGTATAAATATACAAAAGGATGAAGGCTATTGCTGAGCACATTGTAAGCCGCCCTGAGTCTTCGGAGAAGGGCGGCATATAAATCAAATTAAAAAAAAAAAAAAATCCCACAGCCCTGCAGGGGTTAACAGATCACATATCCCATCACCCCTTAACCACACCTTACCTTCTGACTCCTCCTCCTGGGTATAAGAGCTTCCACCACGTGGGAATCCAGTAGTTCCAGAAGTGTACCTGTATGGGAAAGATCAGAGGTCAGTAACAGTTAACCTGACGACCTGGAATTAATCCAGGCCTGAAATAAAAGATACAAGAAAATCACATATACTTGTCTTGTGAGTTATTGGGCTAGATCCATCCCTTAACATATCCTTCCCCCAGGAGTGGGGAGGGAATGGGGATTTTGCAGTATCCTTCCCGTGGAGTGGGGTGGGAATGGAGATTTTGCAGTATCCTTCCCCTGCCACGCCCACCAAGCCATGCCCACCAAGCCATGCCCACAGAACCAGTAGTAAAAAATTTGGATTTCACCACTGAACTAGATGTCGTTTTATTCTGAATTAATTAATTAAATGATAGATGCAGGGGAGATCTCCAGCGGGACTGAAGCGTGTAATGAGTCATAGGCACTTGCAGAATCATGTGCTAAGGTTGAGAAACACACAAAAATGGCAATGCGGTGGATATTCATCAGGTCAATGTCATGATACATTTTGTGCAAGCAAATTCTATGGCTTGGCCTTTGGGCTGTCCACAAGGCTTCAGAATCACTTTCAGCTTCTTTGCAGGTATCCTAGGTTATTGAAGGGGAAAGAGAGAAAAAAAGAAGTATCTGGTACCAGTGGAAGCAAGTTCTTTTGCTTAGGATGGGAAATAACAATTCCTTTTTTCTTCATATCAGCTCCATCTTTAGGCCGAAGAATTATACTGACCAAAGATGGCTTCCTCTACGTTTACTTCCTGTTGGATGCTTCCCACAGCGTTACAGAACCTAACTTTTCTATCTTTAAAGATGCTGTAAGCCAAATCATCATCAGGGTAAGTTTCTGTAGGTACGAGTTGGGTAAAGAATTGGGAGGTGGATGCAGGAGATGACCAGGCTGAGCCCAAGAGAGTGGTCAAACACATAATCAGTCTAAATCCAGCCCACGTTGAATTACTTATCTACCGCCAAATTGCTTTGACTGTTAGTAGTTCAGATTCTTGTAGAGAGTTTAAGTTTACCGTAAATCCTTATACCCATTTGAATTGTCTGAATCTCCTGATTTCCCTGGCGCCTGATGGTGGTAGTGTTAGCAACAGTGCTGGTGACTACTGACATAAGGATATGTTTACCCTGCAAATATAATATAAATTTGAACTTTTAGAAGGCCTAACCCAGGTTAACCATACTATAAGCAGCCAAATCAGAGTGTGTACAAAATTAAATCCCCAAAAGTTGGAAGTGAGAAAGGGATTTTCACCAAAATAAGTATGTGAGCAGATTACGTTGGTTTATTTATTGATTTATCAATCTGCATGCTCCCTCCATTGGTAAATGTCCCCTTCACTAGGTACCAGTCAAGCAGGGATGGGCTTCAAAATATTTAGCAAAGGGTTCTCTGCCCAGTTGGTGGGTGGGTGTGGCCATGGTGGCCGTGGCCTAGTCGGCCTCTTGCACCACGGTGGTGGTTTTTTTGTTTGTTTGTTTGTTTTTTATTTATATGCCGCCCGTCTCCGGAGACTCAGGGCGGCTTACAATGCATTAAGCAATAGCCTTCATACTTTTTTTATATTTTATACGAAGTCAGCTGATTGCACCCACAATCTGGGTCCTCATTTTACCTACCTTAGAAAGGATGGAAGGCTGAGTCAACCTTGAGCCTGGTGAGATTTGAACTTGCAGTAATTGCAGGCAGCTGATGTTAATAACAGTGATTTAGTCTGCTGCGCAAAAGCGGCCTCCCCTGGCTCCGGAGGCCCCATGGAGGCCAGAAACGGGCCTTCCTGAACGTTTTTTGCCCTCCCTGAGCCCTGCACTTACCTGCATTCAAAATGGGCCACGTGGGGACTCCTGGGAGGGGAGGGGCGGACGGGGCCAGCCAGGAGTGGGATTTGGGGGTTCTCCGAACTGCACAGTATCTTAGCTAGAAGTTCTCCCGAACCTCTGTGAACCCCCAGTAGCCCTCCCTTGCAGACCGGAAAACAACTGGAAACCTAAAGCTCCTTTGATCGAGATTGGCTATAATAATTGAATTTTACAAGTCTGTTTGTCCCCCTCTTTCTTATACTCCATGGAATTAGGGAGACATCTGTCTAAGCCCCTTCTGAATGTTATAGCATTACTTTGGACTTAAATATTGCTTCAGCAACTTATGCCTACACAACAAATTGTGCATATCTCTGTCAAGGCCATCTTTCTTATACCTTGCACAAAGGGACTCCAGGAAGCTTAACTTATAGGGTTAATACATCAATTACATCTGGAGGAACATCTGACCGCTGTTGCCAGGGGGACTTTTGGTCAGGTTCGCCTGATCCCTTAGTTGCGGCCCTTTCTTGATCGGGATTCCCTGTGCACAGTCACTCATGCCCTCGTCATCTCTCGCCTGGACTACTGCAATGCTCTCTACATGGGGCTCCCCTTGAAGAGCACCCGGAGGCTCCAACTGGTCCAGAATGCGGCCGCACGGGTAGTCATGGGAGCCGCATGGCGCTCCCATACAACACCTCTCCTGCGTGAGCTGCACTGCCTCCCAGTGGTCTTCCGGGTGCGCTTCAAGATGTTGGTTATCACCTTTAAAGCGCTCCATGGCATAGGACCTAGTTATCTTCGAGACCGCCTGCTGCTACCGACGGCCTCCCATCGACCTGTGCGCTCCCACAGAGAGGGCCTCCTTGGGGTGCCATCAGCCAAACAATGTAGGCTGGTGACCCCCAGGGGGAGGGCCTTCTCTGTGGGGGCATCTACCCTCTGGAATCAGCTGCCCCCAGAGATAAGGAGAATCCAAGACCTCGGTGCCTTCCGCCGTGCCCTTAAAACCTTCTTTTTTCCAGCAAGCCGGGCTGGCCTAACACTTTTTAAAATGTTTTTAATTGTTTGTTATTGTTTTTAATCATGGGGCCAAATTTCTATATATCTTTTTAATTGTATTTTAATGTTTGTAGTTTATGCTTTTACTTGGCTGTTCACCGCCCTGAGTCCTCAGGGAGAAGGGCGGTATACAAATTAAAAAATAAATAAATAAATAAATAAATAAAATTAGCCTTGGTGGTGCAGTGGACTAAGTGCTCTTATGTAGCACTTAGCTGCCAGCTGCCTGCAATTAGTGCGAGTTCAAATCTCACCAGGCTCAAGGTTGACTCAGCCTTCCATCCTTCCGAGGTAGGTAAATTGAGGATCCGGTTTGTGGGGGCCATAAGCTGGCTTTGTAGAAACACCGCTTATGGGGGGGCCAAAAGCAGGTATATACAAAAGAATGAAGGCTATTGCTATAAGTGCATTGTAAGTCGCCCTGAGTCTTCGGAGGAGGGCGGCATATAAATTGAACTAATAAAATAAATAAAATAAATTAGCAATACCACTTATATACCACTTCACAGTGCTTTTACAGCGGTTTACAGAGTCAGCATATTGCTCCCAACAATCTGGATCCTCATTTTACCGACCTTTTACCGGAAGGCTGGAAGGCTGAATCAACCTTGAACCCATGAGATTTGAACTCCTGGCAGTGAGCAGTGAGTTAGACCTGCAGTACTGCATTCTAACCGTTGCGCCACCACAGTGCACATAACTAACAAAAGAATAGTTGATGCAGATCAGTGGCAGGTTGCCCCCGGTTCGGACCGGTTCACAAGAACCGGTAGTAAAACTGGCAGGAAGCTCCGCCCACTGACCCGGACGTCATCATAGGCAATCTGCGTATGCGCGAGCGGACACGATGTGAACCGGTAGTAAAGGTAAGTAGAACCCACTCCTGATGCAGATGTCTTCTCCATCAATAATCATCAGAAGCATGATTCCATTCTACCTTTGGGCTTCTACTCTTCTGTTACAGAAGACCAACAGTACTGAGGCAATAACCAGTCAGTTAGAACTGAAGAAGCTTCTTGGATGAGAAGGGAAACATTTTCAAAGAAAACCACCAGTTGACATTGGGACAACCATGACCAGGATGATTCAGAATCTCCATAGATTGAGGCAATACAAATAAGCTTTGGGGCACGCTGTTCCACAGAGCAGCCACAATTGCCAAGAAGCACATCCCATGAAACTTTATGAGTGTGGTTTACAGCTGGGATCCAGATGTTAGTGATCAGGCAGAAGGAACCCAGACAGGACAAAGATGGTCTTGTAGATAATCAAGTCCTAAGCCATCTTTCCCTAACTGCATTCCTAGAGTGATCATCGCTCCCCTACCAGCACGGAAAACCAACTTAGAAAATAAATATTTGTAAGTGCCAATTTAGCTAATTGCTGGAATTACAGTTTTACAGGAATCAGAGCAAGAAAAGAAAAGTTAATCCTCTGTTCGGTCTAGCGCAAGAATGTTGCGGTTTCTTTATTTGATTGTTGTGAGCCACTGGGGCTGTTGAGAATCAGGAACACATTCGATATTATTAATTGTTGGTCACCCAGTTAGACTGGATTTGGCACTTTTATTCACCTATTGAGTCCTTTCCAAGGACCTGGGATAGATAGAAGATGCTGTTTGATAATGTTAATGTTACAGCAGCGTTCCCCAACCTTTTCAGGTTGGCGGCCTGGAGCTGTTCTGCCCCAGCTATGGACCCCAAAGAATGCAGCACACACAAAGTCTGTACAAACCTTAGTTTACTAAACTAAATCAGTCTTTTTCAAACAAAGGCTGTTAATTAACTTTCTTAACAGCCTACAAGAATCCAAAGAATAAATAATCGTAATCTTACTATGGTTGGCAGAAAGCCCAGAAGCAATTGGCAGAGAACTAAGATCAAGACGTGAAGGAGAGTGAACGAAGTTGTTCCCTGCAAATTGCATCAGCCATCGTCCTTCCTTAAGTAGGCTAGGGGAGTGGCCAATTAGCCCCAAGCATTACTCCTGAGGAGCCACTCCTGCCTTTTAACAGCTCTGCACACTCGTGTATCAAAAAGAGGCTCCTCCTCTTCTTCCTCTTCACTTTATGGGAGCTTCTGGAGGTTCTGAAGGCCCTGGCTGAATCCCCGCCTCTGGCACCACATCTTCTCCAGCCTCCTCATTGTCTGACTCGAGTGCCAGCTGCACAGGCTGCTGGCGCAGCACCACACCAGCCTCCTCGCTGTTGGAATCAGCTATTAGCTGCACAGGCTGCTGACGGACCACAACAGGAGCAGGGGTGGGGAGTGGGGAAAGAGGGGATGGATTTCTGAGTGGGCCAAGCGCATGCACTTGTGTGAGCATCTGCAAAGCATCTGCAGAGAAGAGCAACAAAGATGATTAGGGGACTGGAGGCTAAAACATATGAAGAACAGTTGCAGGAACTGGGTAGGTCTAGTTTAATGAAAAGAAGGACTAGGGTTTTTAGCTTCCGGACATGTCCACCACATATGATAATACGATCCTAGTAATTGAAGCTAAAAACTATTGGATTAAATTTAAGACTTGGTTGGAGGAAATGATACATCAACCTATCGAATTTAAACCAGAGCTGTTCCTACTGGGTATCCTACCTGAAAAAATTAGCAAGGAAAAAGTTTATCTGTTAATGTATGTAATAACAGCTGCAAGGATTGTCTATGCACAAAACTGGAAAGCGGAGAAAATACCTTTGGAAAAAGAAGTAATAAAAAAAAATCTTAGATTGTGTAGAAATGAATAGATTAACTCTGATGATTAAAGATAGAGAAGACTCAGAATATTTTAAAATATGGAATGATTTTTATTATTGGTTGGAGAAGAGGTATAAATGATTAATTATATAAGTATGTAAAAATATGTGATGAGTTGAATATTATGTTAGTGATGAATTGATATTGTGGACTGGATAAGGATCAAGATAGAAGTAATGACAATTATACAGAAAAAGAAAGAACTTTGGAAGATATCACCGAGATGTCACATGGATGAGAAAACTGATGTATTAAATGTTTGTTTCTCTAAAAAATAAAAAACTTTTTTAAAAGAGAAAAGAAAAGAAGGACTAGGGGAGACATGATAGCAGTCTTCCAATATCTCAGGGGCTGCCACAAAGAAGAGGGAGTCAAGCTATTCTCCAAAGCACCTGAAGGCAGGACAAGAAGCAATGGATGGAAACTAATCAAGGAGAGAAGCAACCTAGAACTTAGAAGAAATTTCCTGACAGTTAGAACAATTAATCAGTGGAACATCTTGCCTCCAGAAGTTGTGAATGCTCCAACCAACAGTGGAAACTTTTAAGAAGACGTTGGATAACCATTTGTCTGAAGTGGTGTAGTGTTTCCTGCCTAAGCAGGGGGTTGGACTAGAAGACCTCCAAGTCCCCTTCCATCTCTGTTATTCTATTCTATTATAATTCCCCAGCCAGAAGTGTGGATTTATAGGTTTCCTTGAGGGATGATCACTCTTGTTGAATGATTGTAAATTGGCAGTATTCAGTCACCTTGAATAGGGAGAAATGGATTAAAAGCTGGTTTTGAAACAGGGCTGGGACCTGTATCTTGTGTATTCAGCTGCTGGTGTGTTGTTGAGAGGATTTTCGAAGAACAATGCAAAGACTTGCTGGCCCCCAAGTTATCAACCGATCAATGACTGCAATCCTTAGTATCGCACACAAACAAACAAGGACAGCTGATCCTATTCCTTTCAGTGAATAATATTTAAAAGATCCTGCTTTTTTGTTTGACAGAAAATTCCGCACAATTCAACTTCAACAGGAAAAGCCAATGGCTTTTCTAGATGTTTGTGGTAAAAAACGAGCTCTTGCAGCATTCTGTCCTTCAATAACTGGCCTAAAGTTGGTTACTTCGCCGTAAAATAATGAAAAGGGGGGAAAAAAGCGATTACCAAAAGGCAAAACTGTCATAAAATGTGGTCACGTGATTGCACTTCGTCGCAAGCAGCCATATGTGTGGTCTGGTTATGGCGCACCCGAAGTACGGTCATGTGACTTGGGAGGGGGCTGTCAGAACTTGAATCCAGGTTGTAAGTGTAACACACACACAGGTTTGTTGGGACTATGAATGGTTGCTAAGCAACCTGTCACAAGCCTGGGTCTACCTGTATTATGTATTCCTGATCAATTCGAGCTGCATTGAAAGCGAGTGGATCTGGATCCTGCTTCAAATCAACTGAGGGAGCATTGTGGAATGTTTTTATTTATTTATTTTTTAATTTATTCGTTTGTATCCTCCCTTTATTATTTGTTCAAATAACTCAAGGCCGCTAACATACCCAACACACATACCCAATACATTTTCCTCTCCTTCTTTTTCCCACAACAACCATCCCGTGAAGTGGGTTGGCCTGAGAGAGAGAGAGAATAGCAGAGTTGGAAGGGACCTTGGAGGTCTTCTAGTCCAACCCCCTGCTCAGGCAGGAAACCCTACACCATTTCAGAGAAAGGGTTGTCCAATCTCTTCTTAAAAACTTCCAGTATTGGGGAGCACCCACAACTTCTGGAGGCAATTTGTTCCACTGATTAATTGTTCTCACTGTACAGAAATTTCTCCTTAGTTCTGAGTTGCTTCTCTCCTTGATTAGTTTCCACCCATTGCTTCTTGTCCTGCCCTCAGGTGCTTTGGAGAATAGCTTGACTCCCTCTTCTTTGTGGCAGCCCCTGAGATATTGGAAGACTGCTATCATGTCTCCCCTAGTCCTTCTCTTCATTAAACTAGACATACCCAGTTCCTGCAACCGTTCTTCATATGTTTTAGCCTCCAGTCCCCTAATCATCTTTGTTGCTCTTCTCTGCACCCTTTCTAGAGTCTCCACATCTTTTTCACATCATGGCGACCAAAAGTGAAGTGGTGTAGGGTTTCCTGCCTAGGCAGGGGGTTGGACTAGAAGACCTCCAAGGTCCCTTCCAACTCTGTTATTCTATTCTATTCTATTCTGTTCTGTTCTATTCTATTCTATTCTATTCTGTTCTGTTCTATTCTATTCTATTCTATTCTATTCTATTCTATTCTATTCTTATTCTATTCTATTCTATCTATTCTATTCTATTCTATCTATTCTATTCTATTCTATCTTATCCTACCCTACCCTGTTCTATTCTATTCTATTCTATTCTATTCTATTCTATTCTATTCTATTCTATTCTATTCTATTCTATTCTATTCTATCTTATCCTACCCTACCCTGTTCTATTCTATTCTATTCTATTCTATTCTATTTATTCTATTCTATTCTATTCTATTCTATTCTATTCTATTCTATTCTAAAACTGGATTCAGTATTCCAAGTGTGGCCTTGGAATTACCAAAGCCACACATTTCAAGGTTAGTAAAGCATGATAAGATATTATCAAGCTTTACTAACATTTCACGTGATCTTGATTCTATCCTTCTGTTAATGCAGCCTAGAACTGTCTTGGCTTTTTTGGCAGCTGCAGCACACTGCTGGTTCATATTTAGGTGATACTAAAGTGAGTAACAGGTCCAAGGTCACCCAGCTGGCTTTCATGGCTAAGACAGGATTAGAATTCACAGACTCCCGCTTTCTAGTTTGGTGCCTTAACAACTAGACCAGAGGTGTCAGACTCGATTTCATTGAGGGCCATATCAGGGTTGTGTTTGACCTTGGGGGGCCGGGGTGAGCATGGCCAGCTCGATGTCACTCGTGTCGGGGGTGCCTGTGGTGGCCTGAGTGTTCTGCCAGCGAAAACAGGCTCCTGAGTTCCGTTTTCGGCTGTGACAGCCTCCTGCAACCCTCTGCCAGAGAAAACGGAATTTAGGAGGGTCGCAAGCTCCGTTTTCTCTAGCAGAAGCACAGCGGGCCGGTCATTTGTTGTTTCCAGGGTGGCCCCGCAGTCCAGATCTAAGTATCCTGTGGGCGAGATCCGGACCCCGGGCCTTGAGTTTGACACCCCTGGACTAGGCCAAACCAACTCTCAAGTATGCCTCAGAATTCTTTGCCAAGCATTAGAATGAAATACTTTGGTAGAAGAATATCATATGGAAAAAGGTTCTTTGATGGTAAAGAAAATGACCCGTTTGATGGATGTTCTCTAAAATGTAATCCTGTTTTTTTGTTTTTTTTTTCCTGTATTTTGACTTTTCTTTGCTCCTCAGATTTCTAGCTTTGAAGTTCCGGTCAAGTTCTCAGTCATATCTTATGCCAGCCAGCCCAAGACAATTGTCGACATTGGTGATGTTGCCGCTGAAGATGTCGATATGGTGCTTGATGAGATGGAAAATAGTATGAATTACAAAGGTAGGCATTTAGATCAGTTTTGTTCTCCTCCCACCTCCCCCACCCCAATATAGAATAGAATAGAATAACAGAGTTGGAAGGGACCTTGGAGGTCTTCTAGTCCAACCCTCTGCCCAGGCAGGAAACCCTACACCACTTCAAACAAATGGTTATCCAACATCTTCTTAAAAATTTCCAGTGTTGGAGTATTCACAACTTCTGCGGGCAAGTTGTTCCACTTATTATATCTCTGTATGTTGCCTAGTGTTGTTGTGAGTTGGGTGGCTTTATACATTTGATACAAACCATATTTTTCGGAGTATAAAACGCACCGGAGTCTAAGACGCACCTTAGTTTTTGGGGAGGAAAATAAGAAAAAAGCTGATTGGCAGGTGGATGGGCCTTTAGGAATAACCCAATCAGCTGTTCCCAGAGGTGAATTTTAGCAATAGGTTCCTTGGTTGTGAGCTCTGTGCCTTGCTTATTTTTTTTGCTTTTTTTCCTGCCTCTGAAACTTCTGAAACTCTGTTTCAGAAAAAAAACTTTCTTTTCTTGCCTCTGAAAGCCTCCGAAACAGAGCTTCAGAAAAAAAGCCCCTGAAGCTCTGTTTGGGGGCTTCTCTTCTGAAGCTCTGTTTGGGGGCTTCTTTTCTGAAGCTTCGTTTCTGATGCTTTTTTCAGCCTCTGAAACCTCCGTTTGAGAAGCTGGGTGGGGCTACATTTGGAGTATAAGACACACCCAGATTTTCACCCTCTATTTTGGGGGGGGGGGAAGGTGTGTCTTATACTCCGAAAAATATGGTCGATCTTTTATTTTGATTAAAATATTGACACACTGCTTCTCATCATTGGCTTCTGAGAGGATGGAGTGGACGAAACCGACAAATTTGTGATACAAGCCCCATGTTATTGTTGTCTCACTGCATAGAGAGACTCTCCCCCTTAGGCACAAATTCATCTCACACACATATACAGATAGTTCTTGACTTATGACCACAATTGAGCCCAAATGCTTGTGTGAAAAACAGTCATAAGAAGAGGTGGTATTCAGTCGGTTTGGACTGGTTCACCCGAACTGGTAGCAGAAATCGCTCGCAGGTGGGCCCACCCACCCCCACCCCCGCCTCAGCTCTATGCCATCCTATTTAGGCACGTTTTTGAGGCCTGGCGCATGTGTGGAAGACAGGCGCGCGCAGGGCGGACCATTAGTAACATAATTTGAAATCCACAGCTGGTTATAAGTCACTTTTTTCAGTGCTGTTGAAACTTCAGACAGTCACTACTGTTGTTACTGTGATACTGTTACTGTTAACAACAAGAGTGTTGTTAGTCGAGGACTACCTGTACAGTATCACATTCATACTTTTTCCCTGATCTCTTTCTTACTCATACATATACGTACACATAATTTTTGGATAGAAGGTTATGGCTTCTGGAAGTCAACTTGATTTGAGCTGGCAGCCATCAAGAGAAAAAAAGAAAGGCTGGAATGTTTACCTCAAGTTCAACCGTTTATTTTGCCCTGATTGCTTCCTTTCCATCCAGCCTCAAAATCTTTCTGCCTTGCTGTCAATCAATCAATCAATCAATCAGAATAGAGATGGAAGGGAACTTGGAGGTTTTCCGGTCCCTGATCAGGCAGGAAACCTTATACCATTTCAGACAAATGGTTGTCCAGTATCTTCTTAAAAACCTCCAGTGATGAAGCACCCACAACTTCTGGAGGCAAAGCTGTTCCACTGGTTAATTGTCCTCACTGTTGGGAAGTTTCTCCTTGATTCCAGGTTGTTTCTCTCCTTGATTAGTTTCCATCCGTTGTTTCTTGTTTTGCCTTCTGGTGCTTTGGAGAATAAGCTGACCCCCCTCTCTTCTTTGTGGCAGCCTCTCAAATACTGGAATATTGCTATCATATCCTCCCTAGTCCTTTTTTTTCTCTAGGCCGGGGTCGGCAACCTTAAACACTCAGAGAGCCCTTTGGACCCATTTCCCACAGAAAAGAAAACACCGGGGGCCACAAAACTCTTCCCGTAACTGACTATTTCCTGAGCGGCCACAAAACTAGCATATAGTTGAATTAAAGATTCTGTTTTCTTCTGAAACCTTTCTTTTCCTGGATTTATCCATGATTGTCCTACCGGGGATCAAAAAGCTTAATAAATTGTGTGCCGGTGGGTGTCACACGTTGGCAGTTGTGACACATATTTTGAGTGACAGTGAGCCGCAGCAGAGGGATGAAAGAGCCACATGCGGCTCCAGAGCCACGGGTTGCTGACCCCTGCTCTAGATTAAGCTATAACCCAAATACTGCAATGGAAGCCAGCTTGCATTGGGCCTCTGAGTTGTGGCAAAGTTGGCCTACCGTATCAATGGTGGGTTGCTCCTGATTCGCCCCGGTTTGGGCGAACCGGTAGTGGCAGCGGCGGGAGCCTCCCCACACCCGCCCAGACTGCATCAAAAATGCTCTGTGCATGTGCAGAAGTGCTGCGTGCTACCAATAGTGAACCGGGAAGAAATCCACAAAACTTTGGCGAATGTTATCTATTACAGTTCCCTCGTACATCTCTTGCATCGTGCCCTTTATTGTCCTTTTTTATGCCTAATTTACAAGTAGTCCTTGACTTATGACCACAATTGAGCCCAAAATTTCTGTTGCTAAGTGAAACACTTGTTAAGTGAGTTTTGCCCCATTTTACGACCTTTCTTGCCACCGTTGTTAAGTGAATCCCTGGACTTGTTCAATTGGTAACATGGCTGTTAAGGGAGTCTGGCTTCCCCATTGACTTTGCTTGTCAGAAGGTTGCCAAGGGGGATCACATGACCCCTGAGACATTGCAACCGTCATAAATACGAGTCAATTGCCAAGTGTCTGAATTTTGATCATATGACCACGGGGATGCTGTAACAGTTGTAAGTGTGAAAAACCGTCATCAGCCAATTTTTTCCAGCCATGTTTTAACTTCGAACAGTCACTAAACGAACTGTTGTAAGTCAAGGACCACCTGTATAAGCCTCTCAAGCCTTAGTGAAACTGAGCTTTAAAAAGAAGAATCTCTTAAGACTAATCGAACCCTTTTTGCAGATCATGGCAATGCAACGGGAACCAACATTTACGCGGCCCTTTATGCGGTTTACGAGATGATGATTAACGAAGAAAAATTTTCAAAAGATCAATGGAGCAAAGTCCGCCATGCTATCATTCTGCTTACAGATGGTAAGGAGAAATGGGGAGATTGAAAGTGGGGTTTTTTTTGGGGGGGGAGAGACCATTCACTATCTAGCGATGGTTACTGTACCAAACATCTCGATCAGGGCAAAGCAATAGACACAGTTTACATAGACTTCTGTAAAGCTTTTGATTCAGTGGTACACGACAAATTACTTCTAAAACTAAAATCCTATGGCATTTCTGGACTCCTACATAAATGGATAGCTGCCTTCCTGTCAAACAGACAACAAGTGGTCAAAATAGGAAGCGCTTTATCAAATCCTGTACATGTTAATAGCAGTGTTCCCCAAGGCAGTGTTTTAGGTCCAATACTCTTCATACTTTACTTTACTTTACTTTACATATAGGAAACTATTTGTAGCTCAGGGTTGAAATGAGGGGTCCTTGGTGCTCTCTGAGCTTGATATCAGCATTTCAGAAGAACCCAACTCCAGTTAAAAATTCTGAGACAGGTATTTTCTCAAAGTTTCCATTTATTAGAGTAGGTATGCTGGCACATCTGGGAAAACCTGAATCTGAGAGTTCCGGGTTTTCCCCCAGTAAATCAAAACCCCAAATCCAGCCCCTGAAGCCATTAGTCCATCACATGGTCCAATTACCATCCATCCAGAGGTTGGTTTCAGCAGATTCTGACCAGTTCTGGAGAACCGGTAGGGGAAATTTTGAGTAGTTTGGAGAACCGGCAAATACCACCTCTGGTTGGCCCCAGAGTGGGGTGGGAATGGAGATTTTGCAATAGCCTTCCCCCAGGAGTGGGGAGGGAATGGGGATTTTGCAGTGTCCTTCCCCTGGAGTAGGGAGGGAATGGAGATTTTACAGTATCCTTCCCCTGGAGTAGGGAGGGAATGGAGATTCCCTCCTTCTCCTGGAGTGGGGTGGGAATAGAGATTTTACAGTATCCTTCCCCTGCCATGCCCACCAAGCCACTCACACAAAGCCATGCCACGCTCACCAAGCCATACCCACAGAACCGGTAGTAAAAACTTTTGAAACCTACAAATACATCCGTCCCATCTCGAGACACCACTCCAACCAGTGGTGGGTTCCTCCCGGTTCGGTCCAGTTCGGCCGAGCCGGTAGCGGTGACGATATGACGTCACCGAACTGGTTCTCCCCCCCCACCCACGTTATTCTTACCTTTTATTTGGTCCCACCCCCAATCTATTGCTGCCTCCTGAGTCCCAGCTGATGACTAGAGGGAAAAAACCTGTTTAAACTCTTGCCCAGGGGCTTCAAAGGGCCGTCCTACAGCTGATCAGTGTTAAAAGCAAACAAATGAGTTGGGTCGTAAGTGCGAGGACTGGTCGTAAGTGCGAGGACCTTCCAGAAATGACTGACCAGCTAGCCACGCCCACCTAGTCACATGACCTCCAAGCCACACTCACAAAATAAGCCACGCCCACAGAACTGGGAGTAAAAAAATTTAGAACCCACCCCTGACTCCAACCACTCCTTCGCCAGATGCAGGAATGCCATGACCTTGACCGAAAAGAAGAATGCTATTTTGTCTTAACTATATTCCCTCTACTAAATCCCCACCCCCTAATTTCCCAAGCGCAAGAAGGTGGCAGCGTGGAAGCTGTTAATATGGCTTCCAAAGCTGACAGGTGTCCCCCCCCCCTCCGAAGGACATTTCATTACCCAAACTAGGTAACATCATCAGTTCTAGGAGGGAGTGGGGTTTGCTCTCATTGTGTTGCTCTTATCATGTGAGCTGTGAAAAAGATAACACTGCCAAGCATCAAAGACATGATGGAAACCACAAACAGACTATTATAACCAGATGGCATTAGGGTACCACACAAACCAACTAAGGCCCTCTAAAACATCCTAAGTAAACTAAAAGACCCAGCAGTCCCAGAAGAAAAGAAAAAAAACCAGGAGCCATCGACAGCAGAGATCCCCAATCCCCAGTACATGAACTGGCAACGGGCTGCGGCATGCCAGAAACCGAGTCGCGCAAACAAGCAAAGCCCCATCTGTGAGAGGCAGGCAGCATGCAAAACCATGCCTGCTCCAGTCACAGAAAAACCTCTCTCCACAGGTTTTTTTCCAGTCACAGAAAAACCTCTCCACCTGTCCCTGGTGCCCAAAAGGTTGGGAGCCACTGATCTACAGCATACAGCAGAGGTCTTCAAACTTGGCAGCTTTAAGACTTGTGGACTTCAACACAAGTTGAAGTGAACTTTAAGACTTGTTGAAGTCCACATGTCTTAAAGTTGCCAAGTTTGAAGACCTCTGGCATACAGTGTACAGTAGTGGCCAAACTTGTGGAAACCTTTTGGGAAAAGTGTATTTTCTAAAACTAGCTAATAACACCACTTTTTTTTTTTTAGTAGTGCCATAAATTATATATCAATGGAAAGATAATTTAATCAAGAATGTAATGCAGTAACTTTTATGAAGGATTTGCTATTAGAATAGCAAGTACAGTATAAAGAAGAAAAGTGAAACATGTAGAAAAAACGAGATATATAAAAATTATTACCATAGAAAAAACAAGATATTCAAAAATTATCACGTCAGTTAATACTTAGTTGGGTAACCTTTGGCATGGATTACGGCCTTATAACGTCTGCCCATGGAGTGAACCAAGTCTTTTAGTTCTGCAGCTGTTATAATGTGAAACCAAGATTGAAGGATCGCTTCTATTAACTGAGTTTTATTGCTGGGTCACTTCTGACTAACAAGTTTCTTTAGTCAGCTCCATAGATTTTCAATTGTGTTAAGGTCTGGGCTATTCCCAGGCCATTCCAGCAGTGGAATATGATTATCTTGAAACTCCGCAAAAAAAAGGGTGTTATTAGCCATCAAACCTCAAAAATCCACTTTTCCCAAATGGTTTCCACAATTTTGACCACTACTGTAAAGATTGCAATAACCGCTACATAGGACAAACAGGCAGGAGATTAGCAGAGCGCATCTATGAACACCAATTAGCAATCAGAAGATATGTTGAAAAATTCCTTAATCGCACAAGACTCGCGCAAAATTAACCATAGTTTCAACTGTGAGCATCCCCAGACCAAGCCAAGTCCAAAAACGCTAGAGAATTCCTGGAAGCCTGGCATTCAAACCAAATCAGCCACTAGCAGGCACATAAACGTAAACATCTATATACCATTCAAAAGAGAACAATCAACAAGCCACAAAGGGAACCAAAGAACTAGAACATCTCCTCAACTAGCAATCAACATTCAGGATTTGGTTGAGATGGAGAGCTCATTTTTCTGATTCTCTTCTCCTCCATTTCTCCAAGGGTTTGGGGGAGGTGGGGTGGAGAAAGACCTACAGTAATCCTCATAATTCCAGAATAAATCTTATGATATGATATCCAACCGATCCTTCCCAGAACGGTTTGCTCCCCGTGATTTTAAAAACTGCTCCCCAGTTTTAAGCATGTGTGTATTTTAATATGACAAAAGTTGGAATGTCTATGGAGATGCTCAGTCATTCAGGTCATGGCTGACCCAAGGTGCTTTTCTAAAAGGCAACTGGATTTTCTTGTTTTTTTTTTCCTTTGAAAATGTTTCGCTTCTCATCCAAGAAGCTTCTTCAGTTCTAACTGAAGAAGAACTGAAGATGTTTCTTGGAAGAGAAGCGAAATGTTTTCAAAGAAACAAAGCCAAGGAAAACCAGTTGTCTTTTGGAAAAGCACCTTGAGGACAGAAGTGGGAAGTTACATCAGCTGCACCATTTTTTATTTTATTTTTTGGGGAATGCAGTTCTGGAGCACAGAAAGTTCCACCATCTTTGTTCTAAGATGAGCTCTTTGGACCATCCCTCCCTTGGGATGGTCCCTCTTCTGACCATCTATGATGTAAACCCTTTTGCTTGTGGTCTTCAAAAGCCTCCACTAGATGGAGATTTAGTCTGAAATTTAGTGTTTCAAAGCCAGGCTCCAGCCTATCAATCACAAGGATTTTTAAAAATTCCTTCTTGTTTTTAGTACAGTCACAGGTCAGCCTGGTCATGGTCTTCAGACTGCCCAGGAAACCATGCCAGGTCTTCATTTTTCTTAGCTTGCCTATTTCTGTTTTTCATTTAAGAACACAACACCAATTCAATATGATCATCCTTGAGTTTTCCACAATTTATTCCTCTTTTTTTTTTTTTAAATTTGATTTATATGCCGCCCTTCTCCGGAGACTCAGGGCGGCTTACAGTGCGTTAAGCAATAGCCTTCATCCTTTTGTATATTTATACAAAGTCAGCTTATTGCCCCCACAAACTGGGTCCTCATTTCACCTACCTTAGAAAGGATGGAAGGCTGAGTCAACCTTGAGCCTGGTGAGATTCGAACTTACAGTAATTGCAGACAGCTGGTGTTAATCACAATGCTATCAGTCTGCTGAGCCACCAGGCCCCTTGGCTCAGTTGTTTTGCCATAAGTACATGGCAGTGGTGAAATCCAAATTTTTTTACTACCGGTTTTGTGGGTGTGGCTTGGTGGGCTTGGTGTGGCTTGGTGGGCGTGGCTTGGTGGGCATGGCAGGGGAAGGATACTGCAAAATCTTCATTCCCACCCCACTCCAGGAGAAGGATACTACAAAAACTCCATTCCCTCCCCACTCCTGGGGGAAGGATATTGCAAAATCTCCATTCCCACCCCACTCTGGGGCCAGCCAGAGGTGGTATTTGCTGGTTCTCCGAACTACTCAAAATTTCCACTATTGGTTCTCCGAACTACTCAAAATTTCCACTACCAGTTCTCCAGAACCTGTCAGAACCTGCTGGATTTCACCCCGGTACATGGGTTGGGAATTACTTTCTCATTTTGTCCTTTAATTTTGTTGTTGTTGTTGTCTTCAGGAAAATCCAATCTTGGAGGTTCTCCCAAAATGGCAGTGAGCCTCATAGAAGGTCTGCTGAATGTGAGAGAAAACCGAAAAGATTATCTCGGTGAGTCAAGAAAATCATGCTTGAATTTTTTTTCAAAAGAATGAATTGTGTTACATTGGGATAGCAAGCCTTCCCTCAAGAATCTTGTTTTTCTACAGCAGACTGAATGTCTGTATAACTACTGCTCAACTGAAAACCCACTACTGGCAATCCTCGACATATAACCATAATGGAGCCTGTCCATTATGGACGTATCCCATGATGATCCTAACATGAGTTGATCACACGCCTGGCTCAATTTTATGACCTTTTTTGCACTGGTTGTAAAGCAAATGCCTGTGCTGCCCCACTCACTCACTCACTCACTCACACATGTAAATGTATTTTACAGAGTTTATTAATGTTCCCCAGCAATTTTGGGGGGATTCCCCAAATCCCCAAAACTTTAACCTTAGACTGTCTACTGTAGACCTCACCCCATTCCTAAGAGGTCTGTAAGGGGCCTGCATAAGCGCACCAGCGTGCCTACTGTTCCTGTCCTAATGTTTTCTTTTATTCGTATCCTTTTCATGTATTTATAATTATGTTTATACTTGTATCTGTCATAAAATACATGCTTGACAAAATAAAATAAATAAATAAAATTAAATTAAAAAAATTCCCTTCACCCAGCCTGAGAACTGCCCCAAATAAAGCCACCCACAAGCAGGCCAAGGTTAGTCCACAAGGCAATGGCCAGTAGTCCATAAAAGGTTGCTCCAACAAGTAAGTCCACCAAACAAACTTAAAGCCAAGAGGCAAAACTGAAAGTACATCCACAAGAGTTCACTTGGCAAGAGAAGTTCAGAGTCTCCAAGGCACAAAGTCAAGCAGGAAGCATGAACAAACACAGCCACAAAACAAACACGTTGTTCCCAGAAATGCCTCCCTCTGCCTGCCATGAAAAATAGCTTTCTGTGCAGTCCATCAAGACGGGCGGGGCCTTCTCCCGAGTAATCTGGCAGATCTCCTTTGCTCTTGTCTTTTTTCTGCCCTGCATGCTCTCGGATCCAACATGGAAGGCAGCTCCTCCTCTTCAGTGACCTGCAAACTGTCCCCTGCCAAAGCCCCCTATAAATCACTTTCGGCAGTTCAGAGTCATTAACCCAGTTCCTAACATGCCAGGAATGAACTCATCCTCCCTCAAGCCAGCCTCCGAGGAAGAGTCAGAGGAGTCATCCAAGGGAGACATCACAATGCCATGGTCATTAGGCAAAAGCTGTGGTCGTTAAGTGACGTAGTGGTTCACTATGGGTGCAGTTTTGCTGAAAACTAGAAGTAAGCACCAGTCAAAATTGTCATAAAATGTGATCACGTGACTGCAGGACTTTGCAAAGGGCTGTATATGTGATCATATTGCCCAGTGCTCAAAGTTTAATCACACGACTGTGGGGTGGGTGTGACTGTCAGAACTTTGAATCTGGGTCACAAGCCCCCCATTTTGGGTCAGTTATAGCTTTGATCATAAGTAGAGGAATACCTGTATAGCTTAGTTGCTGGGGCCTAGAGCTCACAACACGAAGCAAAATAAATGTTCTTGTAGCCTTTATAAAGCTACCAGAGTTAATTTTCTCTGATTGTTATGAGGGGATCCTCAATAAATCATTTTTTCCTCCTCTTGAAATGCTTTTCTTCCCAGGTTACCTCTCATATCTGACTTCATTGCTTCTCTCAGATTGCTGCTCCTAGATAAATCAAACATCAATTCTTCACCCTGACCACACTCGTTTTCTCACTCTCTCACAAAATCCAAGTGTTATCATGAGCAGCTGAGATCTGCCTTCACTGTATAGCACCACTTTCTACTTTCTGGGGAAAGCCTGTACTTTCACTTTCACTTTCACTTTCCACTGTCAGAAGAAAGGCTGTAGCTCAGGGAGTAAGTAACCAGTGATAAATGCTCTCCAAGAGATGTAAGGTTTTATTTGTTTATTGTCAGGGAGTTACGCAGCAGGTATTCAAATGAAATCACAGACGCTGACACAAACTTGTACTTTTTAAAAAAATAAATAAATACATTTAACATCTATATGTATATCAGTCAAGATAGTCAGGCAAACAGGAGCATCACAGAGCATACAGGGCACACAGAAGAAAAAGGCGGGGGCGGGGGGAGAAAGGGAAAACTTCTCCCTTTACACGCAGTAACCAATCATAATCTAGATTGCCTCATGCAAGAGCCAGCACTCTCCAATCAATCAACTACCACAGTGTGTTGTGGCCCATTATCCACTTTACTGTTCCAGCTATTAAATTAAATATCTTAATATTCATTCATTCATTCATTCATTTATCCAGCTATTAATTTATCTATCTATCTATCTATCTATCTATCTATCTATCTATCTATCTATCTATCTATCTATCTATCTATCTATCTATCCAGCTATTAAATTAAATATCTTAATATTTATTTATTTATTTATTCATTTATTTATTTATTCATTCATTCATTTAGTCCAACTATTAATTTTAATATCTTAATATTCATTCATTCATTCATTCATTCATTTATAAATTTGTTTGCCAACCCTTGTCTAAAACCCAAGAGATGTGTTGCCAGTTAGGGCCAACAGAGAAGTAAGTAATTTAGCAGCTCATCTATGACTAACATACACTAGAAGAAACAACTCAGATAAAGAGGCTGCCCAAAATAGAGCAATTGGAAAAAAAAGCTGCTGCTGGAAAACAGCAGGAGCAATTGTTAAAAAGCCAGGCAAGTCATTCATGCGGCAATAATTGAAAACAGAAAATTCAATCACTCCTGCATCTCTCCAGGAAAAGTAATTTCAGTTAAGGTATTTTCTTGAGCAACCCACAGAGTAAAGTAACACAATTTTAAGTCACTGCAAATGTTCTCGGAGATCTTAGAATATAGTATAAAACCCCCTGCCGGATTCACCTCAGGTTTGCTGGAAATCTATCTGCTTAGTTTCCCTCAAAATGAATTCTAAAGAGTCAAGCTCTTATTTTTCTTATTTCATATGGCTTTCAGTGCATCCAGCCCATTCATCCTTGCTACTTAATTGTCTTGATAAATCTGAAAGAATCCCTTGTTAAGATTCGGGGACTGTCCTGTCTTCTGTTCCAGAATATCCCATGTTAACATATGTCCTTTTGAAGGGCCCTTGGTTATTTTCTTGCAAGACATTTCATTACCCAATTAGATAACATCATCAGTGCATGTCCTGTTGTTGTTTCATTCAGATATCTATGTTTTTGGCATTGGGAACCTCGACGTTGAGTTGAGTGCCATGAATGACATTGCATCAAAGAAGCCAGGGGAAAGGCATGTCTTTGTGATGGAAAATCCACAGGAACTCAAGAATGCTTTTGAAGATCTGCTGGGTGTGTAGGATCTATCTTGTTTACCAGGGACCGGCGTGCAAGGGGGAAAGGGGCAAAGGGTTGGTGCACCTATCCAATGTTCAGTCTTATGCTTGTGGGAATATATACATGCTGCCCATCTCACCCAGAGGCGACTCCAGGTGGTTTACAATAAACTAAAAATAACAAGATCAAACATTAAAATATTAAGCTAATAAATATTAACATTAAAATTCAGTTTCGTTGTAACTTCGAATGGTCGCCAAATGTATAGTTATGAGGACTGAAGAGCTATATTGGCAAAGTGGTTAGAATGCAGTATTGCAGGCTGACTCTGCCCTCTGCCAGCAGTTTGAATCTCACCAGGCTCAAGGTTGACTCAGCCTTCCATCCTTCTGAGGTCAGTAAAATGAGGACCCAGATTGTTGGGGGGTGCTAATTCTTAGAGAAGGCTATAAAGCACTACGAAGCAGTATATAAGTCTAAGTGCTATTGTTACTTGTAGATAGTTCCAGCCTGTATGTGAACAGTCCTTCCTGTATAACTTCGCCCTCATTTTATGTTTCTATTTGTTCCATTGTAGACGGTTCAATATTTGTTTCCCTATTTTGAATTATTTTTATTTATGCAAAGCAGGTAATAAGATCCAGAACAAAATAGACAATGAAACCAACATTTTGCAGTGTTAGAAATGCATGGTGTAAATGTGAAAGAAGAGAGGCAGTTTGGTGTACTGGCTAGAAACTAGGGGACTCTTGAGTTTTAGTTTCATCTTGGGCACAAAACCAGCTGGGTGAGTTTGGGTCAGTCACTTTCACTCAGCCCTGTGAAGCTGTCAATGGCAAATTACTTCCGAAAAACCTTGCCAACAAATCTGCAAAGACTAGTCCAGGTAGTTGAAGGAATTGATACTGACTCAAAGGCGTGCATATACACAAGTAAACACACACACACACACACACACACACACACACACACACACACACCTAAAGTATTGACATAAAAAGGGGTTGATTTTTCCCACATGCAAAACTAATCTCAGACCCTTGTTTCTGCTAACATGAGAAATTTTGTCACTAAACAAACCCAGTGGGAACCTTTGGACAGAAGGCCCATTGGGTTGGTTCTGCTGAAAGAGTGATAGACCTTGAAATCTTCTATGTAGAAAATCCCAAAAATGCTTTTTCAAAAGCCGACTGGGCTTTCTTGTTTTTCCTTGAAGACATTTCGCTTCTCATCTAAGAAGCTTCTTCAGTTCTGACTAATAATGGAGGATGGAAGGATTTATACTATATATCAATCCTTCCCTCCTCCACCATTCAGTCAGAACTGAAGAAGCTTCTTAGATGAGAAGCGAAACATCTCCAAGGAAAAACAAGTCCAATTGTCTTTTGAAAAAGCACCTTTGGGACAAAGCTGGATGACTGAAAATCTCCATAAACATCTGTGTAGAAAGAACACGCAAGTAAGGGTGGTAAATGGCAAGATTGATGATGATCAGTTTTCTCCCAGATTCATTAACTTGCTAACCATCTTAGATCCTAGAGATTTGGAGGCCATTTGTGGTTTGGCAAACTATTCGGACAGTGCAAGGTGGGATCAGAAGAACCCTTGGCATGTGCGTCTCCAAAACACAGTGAGTACAGACTGTTCTTCTCCACCACTGCCGCCTAAGTCATAGAATAAAATAAGAGTTGGAAGGGACCTTGGAGGTCTTCTAGTCCAACCCTCTGCTTAGGCAGGAAACCCTACACCACTTCAGACAAATGGTTATCCAATCTGTTCTTAAAAACTTCCAGTGTTGGAGCATTTAAAACTTCTGGAATCAAGTCATTCCACTGATTCATTGTTCTAACTCTCAGGAAATTCCTCCTTAGTTCTAAGTTGCATCTCTCCTTGATTAGTTTTCACCCATTGCTTCTTGTCCTGCCCTCAGGTGCTTTGGAGAATAGCTTGACTCCCTCTTCTTTGTGGCAGCCCCTGAGATATTGGAAGACTGCTATCATGTCTCCCCTTGTCTTTCTTTTCATTAAACTAGACATACCCAGTTCCTGCAACTGTTGTGATCTCTTTCCTCTTACGAGATTTCTGTAGGGGCTTACAGGAATGTGGCCCCCACCTGCAGTTAACTTGCTTTATCCTCGATATTTGGTTCTATTGGATGGTTAAAGGATGGGAATCAAGGAGAGATGACCTAGAACAGGGGTGCCAAACTCAAGGCCCACAGGCCGAAGCTGGCCCACAGGGTGCTTGGATCTGGCCTGTGGGCCCTCCCTGGAAAGAGTGAAGAACTGGCTCATGGTACCTCTGCCAGCAAAAACGGAGCTCGGGAGGGCTGCGCATGGCTCGCCAGCGCTCCGTTTTTGGCCACAACGGCCTCCTGCAACCCTCTGCCAGCAAAAGCGGAGCTTGGGGAGGCCCGCCCGATCTCCGTTTTCGGCCGCAACGGCCTCCTGCAGCCCTCTGCCAGCGAAAACGGAGTCCGGGTGAGCCATCGTGACTGAAAGCAGAGCCTCGGTGAGTGACATCGAGCTGGCCACGCCCACCCTGGCCATTCCCCCCGCCCCCCCCGCCCCCGAGGTCAAACAAAAACCCTGATGTGGCCCTCAAATCGAGTTTGACACCCCTGACCTAGAACGTAATTCTGGGATGCTAACCTGATTATATTGTATTTAATTTTTGCCCTAGCATCATAGGGATTCTACTTGCCGAGGTGCCTTGATTTCCAGTACCTGGGTTCTAACAGCGGCTCACTGCTTCAACCACTTGCAAAATACGTCTAATTGGATCGTGGTTCTGGGTAAGATACTACATTTAAAAGAAAGCATGCATTCTGTCGTGGTTCCAGCATAGTTCTGGGGTCTTCCCTTCTTCAGGGATTTCTGAGGCATTATTTCCCTGCATTTATTTGGGGATAGAATTTCAGAAACACCCATTCTATATGAAATGCTGGATTCTGCCTTGATTTGTACGTAGCTCCATCAACATACCTGGGACCATCTCTAGAGAACAAGAACATAGAAAACCCTAAAGGAATAACAGTCTAAAATTTAACTGAGAAGAAAGAACAGAGGATCGTAGGGAAGAACCAAAGAAAATATGTAATGCTGCTTGAATGCTGCTTGCTTAAACTGGGTGATGTAGAATATAGGACCAATAGGCAGAGTGAGAAGTGTACAGGTAATCTTTGAGCTACAACTACAATTGGGACCAGAATCTCTGCATCTACTAAGCAAGGCAGTTGTTAAGTGAATTGCACCTGATTTTATCACCTATTTTGCCACTGTTGTAACCGTGCAGTCATTAAGCGAATTTGTTTTCTCCCATTGACTTTGTTTGCTGGAAGCTGGATGGGAAGGTCACAAAGGGTGATCACATGACCTTGGGATACTACATACAATAGCAGAGAATATACAGGTAGTCCTCAACTTATAAACAGTTTGTTAAGCGATGGTTCAAAATTACAACAGCACTGAAAAAAGTTATGACTGTTTTTCCAACACTTTAAAAGCGTCACAGCATCCTCATGCTCATGTGGTCAAAATTCAGACGTTAGGCAACTGACTCATATTTATGACGATTGCAGTGTCCCAAAGTCACTTTTGCGACCCTCCAACAAGCAAAGTCAATGGGGAAGCCAGGTTCATTTAACAACCGGGTTACTAACTTAACAACGGCAGTGATTCACTTCACAAGCTATAGCAAGAAAGGTCGTAAAATGGGAGAAAAGAATTCGCTTCACAAATGTCTCGCTTAGCAATGGAAATTTTGGGGTCAATTGTGGTCGTAAGTCGAGGACTACCTACCTGTACTTCAACTGTTGTAAAGACATGCCGTTTGCTATGTGCCTGAATTTTGATTGCATGATGCAACAGTCACAAGTGCAAGGACCGGTTGTAAATCACTTTCTTCAGTGTCATTGTAACTTTGAATAGTCACTAAATGAAAGGTTGTAGGTCAAGGACTACCTGGCCCTTAACTACAGCATTTGAATCTCCCCTGATTTATCTATCTTGAAAGAGTTAGTAGATGAAACAATTTGCCCTTCACCTCCAAAGTTCCAAAGGTGCTTTTCTAAAAGGCAACTAACTGGATTTTCTTGGGTTTTTTTCTTGAAAACATTTTGCTTCTCATCCAAGAAGCTTCTTGAGTTCTGGCTGAATGATGGGGAATAGAAGGATTCATATTCTCCTGCTTGGGCAGGGGAGGGGAGGGGGAGGGGGTTGGACTAGATGACTACAAGGATCACTTAGCAATGTAATTTTTTTTTAATATAAAAGTTTTTATTTTATTTTTTTAATATAAACATTCCATCTTCTCTTAAACAGTGTGTCATCTGGGTACAAATATCTCTGCAATAACCATCAGAATTCGCAACATCATTTACTACATTGATATTAATTCTCTAATCTTACAATTATAGTATATATTACACAATTGAGCATAGTAAGCTTATTCATTTTCCTTCTTAACGTATCTTCAAATAAGAATATAATTTTAAAAAATTGAAAAATTTTATTTTTATTTTTAAACATACGTAAAACCATCTTCAATTACACACAGTGTGTCGGTTGGTTACAAGTCAATTTCAATTTTATTTATTGATTAGCCCTTTGGGCCATATCAAGTGCAGAATTACAAAGACAAATCATTACAAAGGTTTGGTAAAACAAATTAAGTAAGATTGGAATAACTCGCAATTAAAATACAATTAGAATAAAATACGATCTAAAATAAAATCGGGATAAAATACAATAATTTAAAGTACCATTTAAATATAATTAAAATTATATTATAATGTCGCCCCTGCATCTACCCAATCAGTGTTAACTGCTATTAAAATTACATTGTTAGATCAAGTGATCATTCTTACAATCTACCGCATTTTGCTGCACCAACTTTGTCCTCCTTCCCATCAACTTTACCACAAATTTAGCAATCCATTTTACCAACTGCAAGTTGGAACCTAACAAACAATATCGCAAAAAGTGCTCTTTAGACTTAGAGGTGCTGGTATAAAAGATCCTGCCCAGTTGATGTTCCCTCAGGTCTGAATATAGGGGGCAATCAAAAATTACGTGGGACGTTGTTTCGACTTCCCCCGTCCCACATAGACAGACCCTTTCCCTTACAGGAATACCCTTATATCTACCCCAGAGCATATTTGTTCCAAGTTGGTCCAACCTCAATTTTGTAAAGAATCTTCTCAGGACGGGAAACAAAGGCACAGCTAAATATTTTTCTATTTTGAAAATTTGTTTATTGGCTGATAACCAGGGGCAAACTTTTACTGCTGTCACCTGTGCAATATCCGATTGGGCACTTATGTCCTTAAATCTCTGTGCAATCCAATTTCGGATCTGCCTATAGTCGTACTGCTGCCAATTTAAAGGGATACCAGAGCTAGATACCTGCTTCAGAACTCTTGATAACCAGTTATTTTTATTACTTGAGATAATCTGCTTCATTAGCGCTAATTTTGGTAACCTCCCTTCCTCCATCTCGATTATTCTCAACCAATAATAAACAGTCTTCAACAAAGCCCTAGTGCCAGTCGCATGGACTCCTGTTTCTGCTCTTACTACACATGCTGGGGTTCACTGCCAAAATTCTCCTCAGGAACTTATTTTGAGGGGTTTCCAGCCCAGGCAGCTTAACTGACCCCCATATTTCTGCCCATAGGTAAGTACTGGTTTGTTTTCGCCTGGAAGACCTTTAGCACTGGGATTAATGAAGATGGAGTTTTCTCTAAAATAAGTTTGTTTAATTGAGCCATCCGAGCCATGGCCTTCCGAGCTCCGGCTTTTACCTACTTATTCCATTTGCCATTTGTCTGAAATACTAGCCCTAAATAGGTAAATGACTGAACTTGTTCTATTCTTCTGTCATTTAAAACCCATTTCCTTATATTTTGTTGCCTGCTAAATATCATTACCTTTGATTTCTCTATATTAATTGTCAGGCGATTTTTTTATACAATATGCTGCCAACCTCCCAAGTGACCTTCGTAGCCCCACCTGTGAGGCCGACAACAAAATTATATCATCGGCATATAACAAGCAATTGACCTGTCTTGTTCCTATACTAGGCCCATGGAGTGATGTATCTTCCAGACATTTTGGGACGTCATTTAAATATAAGTTAAAAAGTGTTGGGGCTAAAATGCAACCTTCTCTGACGCCCTTTTTTAATGGGATTGCATTTGTTACCGATCCTGACCTATTCACTCGAACTCTTACTTGGGTTTCCGTGTATAACAGTCGAATTAAATATAACAATTTCTTTTCTATTCCCATAGCCTCTAATTTATCCCATAAAATTTTTCTATCAATTGTTTCAAAGGCTGCCTTCAAATCTATGAATGCCACATACAGAGGTTTTTTCCAAGACTTAAACTTTGTTATTAGATGGTCCAGCACAAAACAATTATCCATAGTAGATCTTCCGCTCCTGAAATCTGACTGCTCTTCAGCTAAGATGTTATTTCTCATTATCCAGTCCTCTAATTTATGAAGCAAGTGCTTAGCATAAATTTTTGCTGAAATATCGATTAGACTAATTAATCGAAAATTATCTGGGTTATCTCTAGAGCCTTTTTTATGTAAGGGGATAATTATTGATGAACGCCAACTGGCAGGAATTTGCCCTGTTCTATTGATAAAAGTAAAGAGACCCGCCAGGACAGGCACCCACCAGGCTATGTTATCTTTAAATAACGATGCCGGGAGCGCATCCTGTCCTGGAGCTTTGTTTGTCTTCAGGGAGGAGATTAAACTCCTCACCTCCGTGATTGACACTTCTTCCCACTGCGGTAAGGCTTCGTATTCCTGTATCAAGCTCGGAAAGGATATAAGCTCATCAGAGCTTTCCACTGCTGCTGGCGTGGCCAAATGCTTCTCCCATCTTTCTGCACTAATGTTTGGGTCACTTATTGGTTTTCTATCTCTAATAATTTTTGAGACCTCCAACCAGAATAGTGTGGGTGAGGCCAGCTTTGCTGCCTGTTCTAGACCAGCCCATAAGTTGTCAATATAGGAGGCCTTTTTTCTCTTCAGTAGCTGCTTATATTTCTGCCTTATGGTAATATACTCCTTCTGTAGTTCCATGTTTGGGCTGCTTAAGTATCTCCTAAGTGATTTCCTAAGCTGTTTTTTCTTTTCCTTACAGTCATTGTCAAATCAGGTTACAAGTCTTTTATGCGTCTTCAACATATTCATAGCTTACAATTTACCTAAATTCTTATATTATCGATCTAATATATATCTATGTATTATTGTCCTCATTAATCATTTATTTGACTATAGCTATTCTTCCCTCATTTTGTACAAAATATTCTAAGATTTGAGTTAATTTATAACATTCATTTCATCATCCTGAATCAATCCAATAATAATCATAATACATCTTTATGTTATATTTAATATAGTTCTACAATTCTTGTATTATAAAAATCTCTATCATATTTCATTTCCATATTTTTTTATCTAACCATTGATAAAATAAATCCCATATCTTATTATATTGTTTATCTTCTTATTCTCTAATTTCAAATGCCAATTTACTCATTTCAGCACATTCCATTATTTTCTTAATATAATAATAATATTAAGCATAATAATCATAATAATCATAATACTAACAATTATCATATTGTTTACTTAAATTCTGAGCTCAGTTGTGGTTGTAAGTCGAGGACTACCTGTAATTGCCCATAAGGTGAGGACCTTCGTGGCTTAGTTGGGTTCTCTTTTTTTTTTTCCCCCCCAAAATTGGCTTTAGCATGTTTGGGAGGCTATACTAACATTTTGAAGGGTTTTGCACATGGATGGAGATTATCAATCATCAAGGTCATGGTTGTGTCCTTCTTCAGTTCTGAACTGAAGTAGCTTCTTGGATGAGAAAGCGAAACCTTTTCAAAGAAAGAACCAACAAAGTTCAGTTGCCTTTTGGGGAAAAAAAAGCATCTGTGGGTTTGTACGTGAATATGTTACGAAACCACCCTGCAGATGTTTCCTAATTGCACTGCTGAAGTTCAGTGACGCAGCTGAATTTACACAAAAATCATTGTATTTGTCAGCACTTCTATCGTAGCTGGATCGCTTGTGGTTGCCAATGTTACTTTAAGTTCCAATTGCAAATCTGGCTGGCTTTTATAAATCAAGTGAAGTAAGACACAATCTATGATCTGTTTTTTGAAGGCAGCAAAATGTCCTAGTTCCACTGAACATTATGGAATGACCTACTGTGTGTAGACACAATAGTGGATTTGCTGTTAGTTTTACTAAGATAGGGATTTAAAAAACAGACTCGTGCCTCATGTTCAGCCTTTCATTCTATATAGGTAGTCCTTGACTTATTTACTACTGCAGTGGAGCCCAAAATTTCTGTTTGCTAAGCGAGACAGTTGTTAAGTGAGCTTTGCCCAATTTCTTGTCATGGTTGTTAAGTAAATCGCTGCAGTTGTTAGATCGTTTAAGTGAATCTGGCTTCCCCATTGACTTTGTTTATCAGAAGTTCACAAAAGGTGATCGCACAACTCTGGGACACTGCAACGGTCATAAATATGAGTCAGTTGCCACGCGTCTGAATTTTGATCACATCAGCATGGGGGATGCTTACAATGGCTGTAAATGTAAAAAAAAAATGGTCATAAGTCACTTTTTCCAGTGCCCTTGCAACTCTGAACGGTCACTAAATGAAGTGTTGTAAATCGAGTAACTACCTGTTCAGGGGGTGAATTCCAGCAGGTTCTGACAGGTTCTGGAGAACCGGTAGTGGAAATTTTGAGTAGTTCAGAGAACCGGCAAATACCACCTCTGGCTGGCCCCAATGGGAATGGAGATTTTGCAACATCCTTACCCCAGGAGTGGGGAGGGAATGGAGATTTTGCAGTATCCTTCCCCTGGAGTGGGGAAGGAATGGAGATTTTGCAGTATCCTTCCCCTGCCATGCCCACCAAGCCACTCCCACCAAGCCATGCCCACAGAACTGGTAGTAAAAAAAATGAATTTCACCAATGTTGTATTCTATGGGCCTTGTAGCCTACTTAGGATAGATAGGATTAACTATTCCACAACCACCCACCCTTTTTTGCATTTTTTAGAGTCAGGGGATTGTATTTGTTTGTTTATTAAATTTATAGGCCACCCATCTCACAATCCAAAATGACATTCAAACTTTAAGGGCCATTTTACCCCTTCTGCTCTCAAGCCTCAAGGCCCATTTTCACCTCATAAAACCACCAGAAGCCTGCCGTCCCCCCCCCCCTTCCACCTTTCTAATACATCTCATCATGCAAAACCCGGTTTAACCTCAACCCTAGTGGAAAGTGCTTACATGCCAATGTAAAAAGGGAATGGTCATCATAGAGGCAATCAGTAGTTGCTTCCTTGTGGCAAAGTCCATCTGAATGTTTACCTGCCTGATTCAGCAAATCTCCTGGTGTATTATTTCCTGTTTGGTTGGGCAGGAGATTAATGAGGATATCTTGGGGGAGGTATTGGTTTTCTTCAGAATGTCTACCCTACGTGTTTCAAGGCCTGCCCTCAGTTTTATTTTCTTCCGTTTTGTTGATACACACACAGAGAGAGGGTGGAACAGGTGGAAAACACCTGGGTGAAAGTAGGCAGGAACCTTCAAGGGAAAAAAATTAAAGGCAACTCAGTCCTGAGAAAAGGGGAGACGTGAGAAGGGGACTTAGAATCCCCTTCTCGCATCTCCCCTTTTCTCAGGACTGAGTTGTTCTAACATCACGGTGGTTGTGTTTTCATATAAGAAATGGCAAGGGCTTTCATGATTCTGTGATTATATTCTACAACAGGATTTTTTTCAATCTTGGCACTTTAAGATGGGTGGACTTCAACTCCCAGAATTCTCCAGCCAGTATGCCAGCATTCCCTATACCTGCCGACTGGGGAATTGTGGGTGAGTTGAAGTCCACCCACCTTAAAGTTGCCAAAGTGGAGAAACACTGCTTTAAAGTGATGAAGTAGCACTCCTGGATTCTTCCAGTGTCTGCTTCCTCACCTGATCTACCTGAAAGGACAAGTGGTGGTCATCTAGGATACTAAGATACTAAGAGCCTTGGTGGCATAGCAGACTAAAGCACTGTTAAGTAACACCAGCTGCCAGCAATTACTGCAAGTTCAAATCTCACAGGCTCAAGGTTGACTGAGCCTTCCATCCTTTCGAGGTAGGTAAAATGAGGACCCGGTTTGTGGGGGCAATAAGCTGACTTTGTATAAAAAAGAACACCACTTGGGGGGGGGCAAAAGCCCTACTAAGCAGGTATATACAAAAGTATGAAGGCTATTGCTTAACACATTGTAAGTCGCTCTGAGTCTCCGGAAAAGGACGGCATATAAATCGAACCAATAAATAAATAAACAATAAATAAAATCTTGTAGAAAAAAGAAGGGTCACTAGATGGCCTCTGAGACTCCACCCAACATTAAACCATCATAATCTAATAATGGCTTAGTGTTGGAAGAGATCTCAGAGATCATTAGTGACCCTTCTTTCTACAAGATGGCCACCATGATTTTAACCATGATTTAATAAAATGCAATACCGTTTACACAAACACATGGTACATGTAGAGAGTGAGGCAAGGGTAGAGAGTCAGGGTTGATATTTTCTCACTAATAGTCAAAACTGCAGTCTCTGGGACCACTGCTCTGCTTCATCAAAAGGATGGGAGGAAAAAGATGGACAGGGTAACCAACATTTGGTAATGAACAGATTACTCTGACTATTGGGGGCGAGTCGTTGGCCCCCATAGATGGGGTTCGCAACTTGGGCATCCTCCTGGACTCACGGCTGTCTTTTGAAGAGCATATGACGGCCGTAGCCAGGAGGACTTTTTATCAGGTTCACCTGATTCGCCAGTTGCATCCCTTTCTGGATCGGGACTCGTTACGCACGGTCACTCATGCCCTTGTCACCTCACGCCTGGATTATTGTAATGCTCTCTACATGGGGCTCCCCTTGAGAAGCACCCGAAGGCTCCAACTGGTCCAGAATGCGGCCGCGCGGGTGGTAATGGGAGCAATGTGGCGCTCTCATGTAACCCCCCTCCTGCGCGAGCTGCACTGACTCCCAGTGGTCTTCCGGGTGCGCTTCAAGGTTTTGGTTACTATCTTTAGAGCGCTCCATGGCTCAGGACCAGGGTACTTACGAGACCGCCTCCTGCCACCAATAGCCTCTCACCGACCAGTTCGCTCCCATAGAGAGGGACTCCTCAGGGTGCCGTCGGCCAAACAATGTTGACTGACGGCCCCCAGGGGGAGAGCCTTTTCTGTGGGGGCACCTACCATCTGGAACGGGCTTCCCCCGGAGTTACGAAACATCCAAGACTTACGCATATTCCGCCGTGCCCTGAAAACATTTCTATTCCAACAAGCTGGTCTGGCCTAACTCTCCCTTTTTAATTGGCTTTTAAACTGGCTTTTAAATTGGGTTTTAAACCTCTTTAGATAAATTTGGATGTTTTTTAATCTTTGAGCCTAAATTACTTAATCTGTTTCTTAATAGTTTTTAACTTCTATATGTATTTGTATTTATTATGGCTGTTCACCGCCCTGAGTCCTTCGGGAGTAGGGCGGTATACAAATATGAAAAAATAAATAAATAAATAAATATATATCTCATCTATCTATCTATCTATCTATCTATCTATCTATCTATCTATCTATCTATCTATCTATCTATCTATCTATCAGATATATAAATATCTGTGTATATTCCGGAAGTTGGCAAATGAGCTGTTTTTGGCCTCTGGAGGGCCTCCAGTGGGTGTGTGTGTGTAAGGCTGTTTTTGCCCTCCCCAGACTCCTAGAAAGGCTCTGGAGCCAGGTGAGAGAGAAAAACGGGCCTTCCCCACCACTCCCCGAGGCCTTCCGGAGGCAGGAAACAAGCTGGTTCCCTACTTCTGGTGGGCTCAGAAGGCCCGAAAATCAGCTGGCTCGCATGTCCACTGATATGGCTACACGTGTCACCTGTGGTACACGTGCCATAGGTTCGCCATCACGGGTATAGGGTTTCCTGCCTGAGCAGGGGATTGGACTAGAAGACCTCCAAGGCCCCTTTCAACTCTGTTATTCTATGTTGCTTCTAAGGTAACAAGCACTGTTAGTCTGTAACAAGTAGTTTAGCACTAATGATGTTACATAATTTGGGTAATGAAACATCTGCAAAAAAACAACCAGCCTTAGAGGGCACGCAGGCCCCCTCGATGCAATGTTTTACAGTACAAAAAGAAAATTGAGGATCTCTGATTCTTTCTTCCCTTGGCAGGTGGAGAAATCAGGCTAAAGATAAAGACACGGATTGACCATGAATTATACAACATTCGAGCTAAGACGGCCCAGGGCATCAAAGAATTCTATGACTACGATATCTCCCTCATTGAATTGGAGAAACCTGTGACCTTCGGAGGAAGAATCAGGTATCGTGGCTTTTTGCCAAGGTTTTAAAGTTCACCTGGTTTGTTCTGAAACATTGATCGATTGACACTAATTATGCTCTTTGCACATCTGATCTGAAGCCTTGTTAAAGGAATCCAGTTCTCTTTCATCTACCAGGGCAGCATCTTCCACTGGAAACTCATTTGCATTAGGCTCTTACAGGAGGTTCTCATTTAGCAATCAAAATTGGAAGCTAAAATGTTGCAATATTTTCAGGATCAGACTCAATAAGATTAGCAAGAGTTAAAGGTTTAACTATATATTCTTTTATTTACAATAGGCATTCTATATTCACTGAATATTCACAGATAGAAGCCAGGGGAAGGGTGTAGGTAGCTCCTTATATATACAATGGGTGGAGCTATATGTGGGAGTGGTGAATTATGAATACATTAAGAAGTGAAGAATAAGTTAACCCCTGACACCCTGTTTGTACACTATTTACACATTAGAGAATAAGGCATTTACATCTGACAAATCCCCCTCTAAATGCCGATTCGTTATACAGCACCAGTTACACTCAGATTCAGGACAATACAAAACATACAACTTAGAGGTTAAATATTTGTGCTGCTTAGAAGGTAAAGGCTTTGTCAATATATCAGCTAATTGTTCTGAAGTATCGCAATGCACTGCTTTAATAAATCCATCCTGAGATAATTGTCTCACATGTTTAAATTTTATATCTATATGTCTGGACCTTTGTCCAATAGCATCAGATCTAGATATTTCAATGGCTGCTTTATTGTCTTCATGCATAATAAAAGGTAAAGCAGGTTTTTTCCAAACATCTGAAATTAAATCATTAAACCATACAAGGTTATTTGCGGCTTTGGATAAACAAACATATTCCGCTTCAGTCGTTGAAGTGGCCACTAGTTCTTGTTTACCAGTGTACCAGTAAACTGGACAGTCATTTAAGAGAAATACATAACCAGATGTGCTTTTTCTGCATGAGATGTCTCCAGCCCAGTCTGCATCTGCATAACACGTAAGCTTTGGTTCTTTATTATCATTAGGTTCTAACATTAAACAAAAGTCTAGTGTACTTTTTAGATATCTTAAAATTCTTTTAACAGCTTCCCAGTGATACATTGTTGGTTTGCTGACATGCCTGGATAATAAATTGAGTGGTAAAGCGATATCTGGTCTAGTCCAATTAGATATATAAAGGAGTGAACCTATGATTGATCTATAAAATGTGTTGTCCTTGAATTCGGGAGAAGATTCATCAGTATTTCTTAGAAAGTCCGTTTGCATAGGAGTATCACAAGGTTTGGCATTGTTTAAATTGCATTTATTTAAAAGTTCTATGATCTTATCTCTCTGGGTAAGTTTGAATCCCCTTTTTGTCTTATTAATTTGGACACCAAGGTATTTGTTTACCTTGCCTAAAGATTTCAACGAGAAATGCTCATTTAATTTAGTTACAAAAGTTTCTCTTCTCTCCTTATGTTTTCCTATGTATAAAATGTCATCCACATAAATCAATACAAATTCAATGTAATCATCACCCCTCTTGACAAAGAAACAATTATCAGCAGTGGTAGCGTTGAAGTCCATAGTCTTAAGTACTTTTACTAAACAATCATACCACCGTTTACCAGATTGTTTTAGCCCGTATAAACTCTTGTTTAACAACCAAGTCTCATTTCTGTTTGTGTATTGACTGTGAGGTGCTCTTACGTATATTTCCTTATCTAGTTTTGCGTGTAGGTACGCAGTCTGTATGTCATATTGGAATACATCAAGATTGAGTGCTGATGCTACCACTAGAGCTGTTTTGACACTCTCTGTTCTTACAGTGGGGGAATACGTGTCAGTATAGTCCTCCGGATATTTCTGTGCATAACCCTGTGCAACTAATCTAGCTTTGTATAGAGTATTGCCTCCCTCTAAATTCTTAATTTTATATATCCACCTGGTACCAATAATTGTTTTATCTTTAGGTGCAATTGCAGGTGTAAATACATTTAATCCTTGTAAACTTTCCATCTCTTTCTTCATTGCTAATTCCCATTTTTCTTTTTCTTCGCGAGGAAGTTTTAGCACTTCCTCATATGTATTAGGTGTTGTTGGTTCACCATCCATGTGCATTACATAATCCTTGTATTTATTTGGCATTTGATTTCTGGTGCTTCTAATGATTTTTTCGGGTTTACTATCGTTATCATGCAAATATCTTGCTTCCTTTTTTGTTAGTGTGTCTGTCTTTATTTTGTGTTGGCTATTTGTCCAAATCTTGGTTTTGTTTTTATATTTGTTGATATTTTGCTTTTCTATAGTCCCTTTCTCGTGAGATTTTGTATCTTTATATTTATTTGGGAATATTTCATTAAGATGTAATTTAGACCAGTTGGCTTGTTCATGGAACACAGCTGTTCTGGAGACTATAAATTTGTTATTACTATCAATGAATCTGTACCCTTTAGTGCCAGTCTCATATCCCATAAATCTGAGTCTTCTGGACACGTTCTCTCCCTTTCTTCTTAATTGTTTAGGTATGTGTACGTCTGCTGTGACTCCAAATATATGCATGTGTGCTAATTTTGGTTTTCTATTATACATCACTTCATATGGTGTCTTATCTACAATGCTGGACCATGTTCTATTTTGTGTGTAATTTGAATAATGTAAGGCTTCTGACCAGAATTGTTTGCTTAAGCCAGCATCTTCCAATGTGCATCTAATCATGGTTTGTAATGTGGAATTTTTCCTCTCTGCAATCCCGTTTTGGAACGCAGAAAATGGACTAGATGTGTAATGTAACATTCCTTTGTCTTTTAACCATTGGGAGAATTCTTTAGACATGAATTCGCATCCTCTATCTGTCATAATTTGTTTTATTTTGATGTTGTGTTGTGTTTCTATGCGTTTGTAAAATTCTTTAAATTTTTGAAATGTTTCATCTTTGTGTTTTAATGTATAAACAAATCCATAGCGGCTATAATCGTCCACTATTGTCAGGAAGTAACGTTTTCTATAAGTGATTGATGGAGTTAATGGACCAACTAAGTCCATGTGTACTAAATCAAAAATTTTGTTAGTTGATCTAGTAGATTTTCTTGGCCTGGGACTAGTTTTTAGTTTTGTAGATTTACATACTGAGCATTCCAGATAATTTTCACAATTTTTTATTTTAACACCTTCTGCGTGTTCAGTCATTTTTTGTACTACAGGAAAACTGGCATGTCCTAACTTCCTATGTAAGATGTGAGCACACTCATCATGAATTGGTTTACCTATTTTTGGCTTTTTATCATTGTGTGCATCTGTGTGATCATGAGATATTTTACATTCATCATTGTCACTGTTGCTAACATTCTCATCATCTATTTCAATACAATCTTCCATATTTGAATCAATGTTATGTAACCATTTTTCTTTTGTTATCAGATAAGGTAGGCCTCCTTTAATCATCACAGTGCCTATATTTATTTTATTCTTTTCCAAAGTTGCCTTTCCTTTTGAAAAGACAATGTTAATGTCAGAATCTCTGCTTAGTTTTATGGCACTTAATATGTTATGAGGTATTTCAGGTATTAGTAATACCCCCTCTATTTTTCCTAGACCAGGCAAGGTTACATTTCCTCTACCTAATACTTGAACTTTTTCTTGGTTAGCTACCTTAATTACAAATTTATCTTCTGCAAATGAAGACAATATATTTTTGTTATTAGTGGTGTGATTAGTTGCTCCAGAATCAATAAGCCAATTATTGTTCTCACTTTGCTGTGTGTTAGTGTTGTCTTGTTTATTTAACCCATTCAGTGAACCAGATTTTCTATCCTTTGAATTGTCTCTACCCCCTCTGTTCTCTCTGTGATTTGGTGGGCTCCTATATCTATGCCTTTCTATGGAAGGCCGTCTATAATCGTATTTGTTTCTGTATTCTGATCTATATCTTTCTTTTAAAAATTTTGGGCAATCTCTTCTATTGTGTTCCCTGGATCCACAATTATGACATTTAAATGTTCCACTATATTTTTCTTGGAAAGTTACTTTCCTATATGGTTTGTGTTCTGTGTGATTGTTAGAATGATTCCTTCTTGAATTATCTTCTGTTATCAATTTGTTGGACAGACTTTCTAAGGATAAATATCCTAGATTGATTGTGTCTAAATGTGACATAAAATTGTCCCATGATGGATCAAGTGAGTTGATAATAACACTTTTCATTGTTTGGTCTGAAATCACCTCCCCCCTCAAATGCAGTTCAGCTCTTATTTTGTTCAAAGATATTAAATGCTCACTTATGGAAACCCCTGGTTTTACCCTAGACGAAAAGAAATCTTTAGATATTCTTGTGGTGGTAGCTACACTGTCACTGTGAAACAAATTAAACATGCATTGAATAATTTCTGAAACAGTCAAATTTGGCTTAATGCTGTGATACATTGCAGGAGACACACTAGATATTATTAAGAAAAAAGCTCTATGGTGTAAACAATCTATTTTTAGAGTCCAAGGTCTTTTTGGGGGACTAGTGATAAAAAACAGTAAGTTTTCCTTCATAAAGACAACCTGGAGCTGTTGATACCATTCTTGTAAATTAATGCCATCAACCCTTAGTTTTGGGAAGTCACTGGGTAAATTTCCGACATTATTGGGTCCATTACTTACAACCTGAGGTAGTCCGTGGTCTCGTAAATGCAGAAAATTGCAAAACGGCGTGGGGATGCTCGCTACGAGTCTGCATGGTCTTCTCTCCAGTTCATGTCTTCCCGGACCGTCTGCGTAGTTTCGCGCATGCGCGTTGCCCATTTCTTCTTCGGCGTCGTCGTGGAAGGTTCTCCTCATTGCGGCTTGCTCGCTCTGCTCCTCTTCAGACGAGTCGGTCTCTGGTTTGACTTTGGGAGTCCTGACGACTGTGGCTGCTCTTCCTCTTCTATTGAGGGCGTTGGTGCTTGCTTCGGTCTGCGGCGTAGGGCGGTATCGGCAGGGCTCTCTGGGTTCGGGCGTCAGCGCTCTCGTAGTCAGGATGGGAGCGGGCAGGTCTTGAGGCATTGGCTTGCTCGCTCGTTTCTTCGACATCTTTTTAGTAATTTTTAGTTTTGGCCCAAATGCAGCAAAGAGCGTTTTCATTGCTGATTTTATTTGGTGTTTTGTTGAATCGTCCTCACTTTCTGGTTCTGATTCTTCTGAGGTGTTTGAATCTTCCTTTTCGTTTTCGTTGTCTGATAACGTTTTTCGCGCCAGAAATTTTGAATTGAGCTTGCTGATTGGCTCTGCTTCGCTCATCTTGGAGGCCTGTTGAAACCAAGATGGCTGCCGTTCAAATTTTCGCGCGGGATCACCGTTTTTCTTCTTTGTAATGATTTTCTCCGCAATCATTTCACTCACTATTTTTGGGTCTTTAGGCTTTTCATTAGTGATGTTTTTCTCTCTCGCTGCTCCGCTGTTCTTCAGCATATCTTGGAGGTTCGCGATGAGGCTTTCATCATTCTTCTGGCTTTTTAATAGTTTTAATATCTCTGACCTGAGTTCGTTATTCTCTATTTCGATTTCCTCCTGGTCATCAATTATTTCTTCGTCTTCAGTGGTGTATTCTTCGGACTCTCTCGAAATTGCGTTTGTGGATTCGTTGATTATTTCTTGTTCCGTTTCCATTTCTTTGCTGTAGGCCCTGGTGTTGGGCCTATCTTTCTTAGACATTTTTAAGTTTTTTATTGAGTCAATTAACCATCCTCTGCTACCAGCTTGTTGCAATATTTTCAGGATCAGACTCAATAAGATTAGCAAGAGTTAAAGGTTTAACTATATATTCTTTTATTTACAATAGGCATTCTATATTCACTGAATATTCACAGATAGAAGCCAGGGGAAGGGTGTAGGTAGCTCCTTATATATACAATGGGTGGAGCTATATGTGGGAGTGGTGAATTATGAATACATTAAGAAGTGAAGAATAAGTTAACCCCTGACACCCTGTTTGTACACTATTTACACATTAGAGAATAAGGCATTTACATCTGACATAAAACATAGGAAGAACGGTTGCAGGAATTGGGTATGTCTAGTCTAGTGAAAAGAAGGATTGGGGTGACATGATAGCAGTGTTCCAATATTTGAAAAAGGGGTGCCACAAAGCAGAGGGGGTCAAACTATTCTCCTAAGCACCAGAAGGCAGGACATTAAATTAAACAGATCTATTTTTTTCTTTCTAGACCCATCTGCCTCCCTTGCACCGAAGGGGCCAGCAGAGCCCTGAAGAAAAAGCCTGGAACAACAACATGCAGAGATCATGGTAAGGATACCAGGCTTCTCCATACCTTGCAGTGTGCTGCCTTTAAGCAAGGAATAAACTTAGGAGAGGTTTCCTGACAGTTAGAACAATTAATCAGTGGAACAACTTGCCTCCAGAGGTTGTGGGTGCATCAACACTAGAGGTTTTTAAGAAGAGTTTGGACAACCACTTGTCTGAAATGGTGCAAGGTATCCTGCCTGAGGAGGGAGTTGGACTAGAAGACCTCCAAGGTCCCTTTCAACTCTCTTATTCTGTTAAATTGTACAGGAGGTGCCAGCTTTCCCAATAGAACAGACAAGAAGCATGACAAATGAGCTAATTAGAACTTAGAACAGTGATGGTGAACCTTTTTTTTCCTCAGGTGCCAAAAGAGCATGCGCCTGCTATCACACACACCTACAATGCAATGCCCCCCATGCGCCCCGCCACATGCGCATGCACCCCCCCCCCTCCTGCCCCCCCCCCCCCACATGTGCGTATGACACTCACCCCACCCACCCCCGCGCTCCATTTTGACCCTAGCAGGCCTCCCTGAAGCCTCCAGAGGCCGGAAACGGCCCGTTTCCGGATTTCCAGCAGGCCTGTTTTTTGCCCTCCCCAGGCTCTGGAGGCTTTCCTGGAACCTGAGGATGGTGAAAACAGCTTCCGTCAACCCCCCAGGAAGCCAGAAACAGCCCATTTCCAGATTTCCCGAGACCCATTTTTCGGGCCTCCGGAGCCCGGGGCAGGCCGTTTTCACCCTCCTGGAGGCTCGAGAAAAGCCTCCAGAGCCTGGGGAGAGCGAAAACGCCCCTGTGCCCCCCCCCCATGATGCAGGAAGCCGACTAGGCCACACCCCCATGGCCACACCCACCCAGCATCTGGGCAGAGAACAAGTTGTTAAAATTTTTCAATTCCACCCCTGGGTTCACCTGTCATTCAGCTGTGCAGAGGAAGCCCCTACCTGATTTTTTTTTATCATATGTAACTTAAATTAAAAGAGTTGGGATTCTGTGGACACATCATCTTGCCCTTCTGACATTCTCCCCAGAGATGACCTGTGCATGTCCCTCTAGGGCTGTACTGTCAACATCGGTTCCTCATTTTTACAAAGTGGTCACCTTCCTTTCTTCCATTTTTTGGAAATCTATTACTTTCAGTTCTTCTTAGTTTCTCAATCTGTCATATTTGGTTTGGTACGCTTGATTTAATTTTATAAATATGTGCACTCATTTTCCATGTGTTTTGGCGAATTGGTGTTCCAAATTTGTGAAACACACCCATGTTTTGCAATTCCATGTTTTCCCTCAGTTCATCATTTCCCTGCATTGTTCTTGTGAATGTGTGTGCGTTCTTTGGCTCTGATTGTCCCATATAAACCTGCAAATTGAAGATAGCTCAATTTTGCTTTGGTTTTTCTTTCATTTGGAAATCGAAATGAAATATTCAAATGTACTTGTCCCTCATTTTTTAGTACGGTTTTTAATAATATTTTAATTCTGTGTTGTTTTAAACTTTTAACTATTTTTACTTCCTTTGTAAGCCCCCTCAGACTCACTTTGTAGAAAAGATGGGCAGCATAAAAATTTAATAAAGAAAGAAAATTAAATTAAAAAAATCTTGAAATAGCAGTGAACAGTCTGCTAGGATCAGGTCTTCAATCTGCATTAAATAATATTTGCAAAAGGTGCAAAATGTTCAAGGACATGCATATGAGGGAGCATGGCATTGATTGATTGATTGATTGATGAGATTTATATGGCTGTCCATCTTATGTGCCATAACTTTGGGCGGCCTACACTAAGAACAACAGAAATATTGAAGAAACTATTAAAACCAGCATCCAAGAAACAACTCAGGTGTCCTAAATCAACAGTCCCTAATATATAAACCAGTGTTTCTTAACCTCCAGAAGTTTAAGATGAATAGTCTTCATCTCCCAGAATTCCCCAATCAGCATGCTGGCTGAGGAATTCTGGGAATTGAAGTCCACACGTCTTAGACTTGCTGATGTAAGAAACACTGCTCCAGGCACTGGGTCAATGTTTGAATAGTATGACCTGGCCAGCCAGAGTTAAAGTATCAATTATCAGTATCACCCAGGGATGTTATTCAGCAGGTTCTGACAGGTTCTAGAAAACCGGTAGTGGAAATTTTGAGTAGTTCGGAGAACCAACCTCTGCTCTTTCCGTGGTGACCTGAAGACGTGGCTTTTTCAACAAATCTCCTGATCTGCTGGAAGTTTTAGTTTTAGTTTTAACCGTTCGGGGATTTTAATTGGATTATTTTAGTATTCATTTTATTGTCTTATTGTTTTATTGTTGTGAGCCGCCCCGAGTCCTTCGGGAGAAGGGCAGCATATAAGTACGATAAAATAAATAAATTAAATAAATAAATAAACCGGCAAATACCACCTCTGACTGGCCCCAGAGTGAGGCGGGAATGGAAATTTTGCAATATCCTTCCCCCAGGAGTGGGGAAGGAATGGGGATTTTGCAGTATCCTTCCCCTGGAGTGGGGTGGGAATGGAGATTTTGCAGTATCCTTCCCCTGCCATGCCTACCAATCCATGCCTACCAATCCATGCCCACAGAAACGGTAGTAAAAAAATTTGAATTCCACCACTGGTGCCCCATAACACTGAATGGCCTCCCCCAGCAATTTCATGTAGATGTTAAACAGGAACAGGGAGAATCCTAATCCCTGAGGCATGCCACAAAAAAAAGGGGAAGAGGGCTGGAAACTCCCCCCCCCCCATTATTTAGAAATATTGAACATTGAGAAAATGACTAAAGGCTATTTACACATCTCAAGGAAAACTAAGGGCAAAAAGATTTGAAAATTTTTCTAATGCATTTTTTTTTTAATCCATTGAAAAAATCTTCCAAATCCTGCCTCAGCTTCTGCCAGACCCAGTCACTGACCAATTTAGACTGATTGGCACATCCTTATCCTTGCGGTTGTAACGTGAGAGATTTTGAGGAACTTGGGAGGTTAAAACCTTTGCTATTTCAGAGGAAAGATGAAGAAATGATTCAGAACAAATATTGTAAAGACATTTCACATGCTGAGTTCACGTTTCTTGCACCCTTTCAAACAACCCAACCCAGTTTCATTAGAACGAGTGGATTTCTTTTTTTTAAAATAGAAAACAGATCTTGTCTAAGAGGGTTTTTTTTTTCCACAAAAAAAAAAAACCAAGCATGGTTCTTCAGAAAAGAAAATTGCTCCACTCTAGGTCGCTGCCTTTCACCAATCTGTTTTCTGAGGGCAGAAAGTGAAAACAATCCTCCATACTTTCTTTTATCTGCCATGTTTCTTGCTTTCTCTGTTCAGAAACAGCATAAATGTTTAGTTATTTTTGTTTGAGGATGGGTTTTCCTTGCTGTGACCTATTAGATGCTTGAGTCTAAATATTAATCTATTTAAACCATGGTGTCCAACCTTGGCAACTTTAAGATCCATGGACTTCAACTCCCAGAATTCCCCAGCCACTGGTCATTCTGGTTGGGGGAATTCTGGGAGTTGAAGTCCAAAGGTCTTAGAGTTGCTAAGATTGGACACCCCTGATCTAAAGCCATAATTATATGTCCCTTTCTGCTTCACAGAACTGGAGCTACTGAGTTTTGAGAAGGTGCCTGCCGAATTCATCTCCTTGGACCACAAGAGAATGAATGTGCAGATCAAGACCAAAACAAGTGTGAGTGTTTGGTTCCCTCCTCGGGGATTCTGGATAATAAGAGCCTGAAAAGGAAAAGGAAATAATGATGGAAAAGTCTCTTAAAGAAAACGAACGGGAGAATGTTAATTTGCCACTCCCTTGAAAATACAAAAAGATAGTTTTAAAACTTATTTTTAATTAATTAATTAATTAATTAATTATTGGTGAAACAAAAATTACAAATTTGAATGAACAAAATGAAAAAGCTAAAATGTGACAGGACTGTAGGCGTGTTAATGCACTTACGCACATCCTCTTAGGAAACTCTTAAATAGGGGATGAGGTCCATAGAAGTCAAATTGGAATTAAAACTGTGAAAGTTAGTAGCCGAGACTATTGAATCGGGTAAGGTATTCCAGACTTCGACAACTCTGTTACAAAAATCAAATTTTTTACCATCAAGAAATCATGCAGAAATAGTACACTTCATTGTGTTTCAGATTTTGCAGCATATGGGAAAATTAGAAACCTTTGGTGCTCCCAAAATGTGGGAGGGGGGGGGAAGGCTTTTTTTCTCAAATGTTGTGGCTTTATCATTAGAATGCTCCAGCTTTTTCATCAAATGAAACCAACCAATGTCTCTGTGCAAATGCCGCACATACACACAACCACACTACCCAACTTATTCAGGGAGCAAACTCAGAGGAGAGAGAGCAGAAAAGGTTTTTTTGTGGGGTTTTTTTTGTTTTGTCCAAGTTCACCTTTTGTTCTGAATCCCACCAAAGCTCATTATGAAATCAAGCCATGGCTCTGGCTGAAGAAAAACATAACAAAATTGGCACTCTACGAATAATGTACAAGTATACGATAGACAGGAACGGAGAAGAATATAAATACATATATTAGTTCTAGCAATGTTTCTGTTATGGTAAATGCCTAACTGTATTGCTATCACTGGTACACAGCCCTGCAAAGGTTAACCAACCACATATCCCATCACTCCCATAGCCACTCCTTACCTCCTAGCCCCTCCTCCTGGGTATAATAGCTCACTCCACGAGGTATTCTGGTTGTTCCAGATGTGTACCTGAAAGAGAAAGGTCCAAGGTCAGTGACCTCTGGTTCCATAAGGCCTAGCATCAATCTAGGCGTGCAATAAAGGAATTTACTTAAGAAAGAGAATTCATCTCGTGAGTTATTGGGCTAGATCCATCACCACAACAGTTTCTTTATCTTGGCATCTTTAAGGCAGGTGGACTTCAACTCCCAGAATTCCCTAGCCAGCATGCTACCTGGGAAATACTGGGAGTTGAAGTCCACCCGTCTTAAAATTGCCAAGGTTGAGAAAGACTGAGTTAGAGTGACTGACCTCCTTTCCCCTTTGCACAAACATGTTTGGGAAATCTCTTTTTTTCTATCCCCATGACACTGCGTTCATTTCATCCCAGGCCTATTTGTGTGATAGGTTTAAACCATCCTTAAAGTAATGTCTCCCCTCTTCAAGCTGACAGTGCTGAAAAGACAGCCTGAAGCTAAATAAAATTCATTAGGCTGTGTTGCTTTACCTTGGTCTAGAACAGTAGGACTGGGGGGAAAGGCAGGAAAACAACAGGTCACAGGAATGATAGAATTTATGTTGATCGTTTTCTCTGACTCAGAGATAGAGAACTTGGCAACGAAGAAATGTCATTAGGTGAGGAACTTGTAGTGGGAAAAGGCTCTGAGGCTGATGAATGGATGGTCTGTCACCAACCCGGCCTTTTGAAACTTTCAGTCAGAATTTCCATCACCAAGTTCAAAGCATCAATAATCTTTCTATCCTGATTCTTCAGAATCCCAACAGTTGACTTCTGTAGCAGGTCACTGAAAAAAAATAACACATAGCTGAATCTAAATTGTATTATATTTTAATTTGGGCACAATGACAATGGAGATTCTTAATCATCCAGGTCATGGTTTTCCCAAAGGTGCTTTTTCCAAAAGGTGGACTGGACTTTCTTGTTTATTTGTTTTTCCTTTGAAAGCATTTCGCTTCTCATCCGGGAAGCTCCTTCAGTTCTAACTTCTCATCTCCTCTCGAACTCAACTCTAACTGAAGAGGAGAAGCGAAACGTTTTCAAAGGAAATAGAAAACCAAGAAAATCCAGTCGCCTTTTGGAAAAAGCATCTTTGGGATAACTTGGGCACAGATCTGAAACCACCCCAGGCAGGGTGAAGCGGGAGGGTTACCCTCTTTTCCAGGGGTGGGTTCTAAATTTTGTTACTACCGGTTCTGTGGGCGTGGCTTATTTTGTGGGTGTGGCTTGGAGGTCATGTGACTAGGTGGGCGTGGCTAGCTGGTCAGAGTCATTTCTGGAAGGTCCTCGCACTTAACGACCCGACTCATTTGTTTGTTTTTAACACTGATCAGCTGTAGGACGGCCCTTTGAAGCCCCGCGGCAAGAGTTTAAACAGGTTTTTTCCCTCTAGTCATCAGCTGGGACTCAGGAGGCAGCAATAGATTGGGGGTGGGACCAAATAAAAGGTAAGAATAACGTGGGTGGGGGGGCGGGGGGGAGAATCAGTTCGGTGACGTCATATCCTCACCACTACCGGCTCGGCCGAATTGGGAGGAACCCACCACTGCTCTTTTCCGCACCAGCTGTTCAGAGGGCTTATTCTGCCCCCTGTGAAAAAGGGAACGTGTCCCACTTCCCCTCATGTAGGGTAAGCCCCTAAACCAAAGATCTGGTTGCGAAGCTTGTTTTGAGCACTGAAGCTGAGCGCTGAACAAGGGGATACATCAACTGAATGGGGAAGCTGCATGATAAACAGGAACTTCCAAACTTGGCAACTTTAAGACTAGTGAGCTTCATTTCTCAGAATTCCTGGCTGAGCAATTCTGGGAATTGAAGTCCACAAGTCTTAAAGTTGGCAAATTTGGAGACCCCCTGTGATAAAGCAAGAGGCAGCAGATTTGGACAGTGAGGAGGTTGGGGAGGAATATGGGCCAATCCTGGAGTCTGGGGAAGGCTCTAATGGCTCTGCATCAGAGGCAGAGATGGGGCCAGGGCCCGTATGCTAGCTATCAGCTGCTTTCAGAATCAGTCTGTCAGGTTTAGAGGTTGTCTCAAATAAATTGCATTTCAAACAAAGTCTTTGATGGAAAAAAACTCCCATTTATTAAGCACGACATTCTAAATCCGACTCCATCGTAGCCAACACTGACTTCCAGACCCAAAACCCTCCCTTTCCATTCCCCACTCCCCTGCACTCATTGGCCATCTTCCAAGTCACTCTACCCCTAATCTACTGCTCCAGCTCAAAGGAATTTCCCCCCTCCCATCCCATCTCCTAGGGGATATTATCTCCAGGGAAAATAAGTAGGTGAAAAATCAAACGTCCCTTTCCAGACGCCTCCGCTTCTCCTTCTTATGTCAGCACTAGAGTAAATGCAGCTTGAAGTGCTGACACAGACATCAGTGAGGCAGACGAACAGCTGGAGCCTGTTCCCAGTGCGCGCATGCGCAGAGTTGCCAGACGAAGGGAACAGCTAAAGAATAAGGGTCGACTTGGGAGTAAGGCCACAGGTGGATGATGAATGGTCCCTTCCAGAGGGAATAAAAGCGGAGCGAAAGGGGAGTGGGCTTTTGCAGGAAACAATTCGTTCGGTCGGTCATTTCAGGAGTGTGAAGATCTGTCCGTAAATCTCAAGAGACTTTGTGCCAAGTCTTTCCTTGCACAGCACTACGTTTGGACAATATTTACATGGCAGCTTTCCAGTTTTGAAAAAGTGTTTGCCAGGCCTTTGCTGAAGATGAATGAGAGGAATTCACTGTTTGTTTTAATAAAAGGGGTTTTGTCGGGACCAGGATTCTGCTTGGTGCTTTTTGGGGAAGCCTAGGTCAGAACAGTGGTGTCTCAGAACAGACACAATGGAAGTAGGAGAGAAATCAACATTGGAGGCAGCTGATTTCACACCAGTACAGTTTTCTATTGTCTCAAGAACAGCTGGAGAGCCAGTTTGGTCTAGCGGTTAAAGCACCAGGCTTGAAAACAGGAGACGGGGTGTTTTCATTCTGCCTTAGGCCCAAAGCCAGCTGGGCGACCTTGTTTTGTTTGTTTTATGTTTTATTAGATTTATATACCGCCCTACTCCCGAAGGACTCAGGGCGGTGAACAGGCACAAAATAAAATACATAAATACAAAAGTTAGAAACATAATTAAAACCAAATTAAATAATTTAGCCCAAGACAATTAAAAATCCCAATAATTTAAAACAAATTAAAATTTCAATTTAAAAATTTAAAAGAAAGGGGAGAAAATTAGGCCAGGCTGGCTTGCTGGAATAGGAGGGTCTTAAGAGCATGGCGGAAAGTGCACAGATCCAGAATCCTCCATATCTCCAGGGGGAGCTCGTTCCAGATAGTGGGTGCCTCGACAGAGAAGGCCCTCCCCCTGGGGGCCGCCAGTCGACACTGCTTGGCTGACGGCACCCAGAGGAGCCCCTCTCTATGAGAGCGTACCGGCCAGTGGGAGGCTGTTTGTGGTAGTAGGCGGTCCCGTAAATAACCAGGTCCTAAGCCATGGAGCGCTCTAAAGGTAGTGACCAAAACCTTGAAGCGCACCCAGAAGACCACCGGGAGCCAGTGCAGCTCGCGCAGGAGAGGTGTCACACGGGAGCGCCATGTTGCTCCCATAACCACCTGCGCGGCCGCACTCTGCGCCAGTTGGAGCCTCCAGGTGCTCCTCAAGGGGAGCCCCATGTAGAGAGCGATACTGATCTTGAGCCAGTATCTTTCATTCAGCCCTAGGAATGAGACAATGGCAAACCACTTTTGAAAAATCTTACCAAGATAACTGTAAGGCAGCGTTTCTCAACCTTGGCAACTTTAAGATGTGTGGACTTCAACGCCTACATTTCCTCAGCCAGCGGTGATACCGGCTGGGGAATTCTGGGATTTGAACTCTACATATCTTAAAGTTGCCAAGGTTGAGAAAAACCGCTTTAGGGACTAGTGGAAGCGGTCACCAGTATTCAAAACCCAATTTGAAGTCCCAAAGGTGTGTTGTTGTTGTTTTTCCAAAAAGCAACTGGACTTTTTTTTTTTTCCCTTGAAGACATTTCGCTTCTCATCCAAGAAGCTTCTTTATTTCTGACAGAATGGTGGAGGATGGAAGGACTTGTATTCCTTGCAGTCATCTGGTCGTTAGTGCTCTCTCTGAGGTTTTTCTGTGCCCTCAGGGTCATCTGAATAGTGCAAATTGGTGTGGAACCTTCTTGGAGCTGCTGAAAGGGACTGTGTCATACGCTGGAGATAGATGATGACTGTTTTATAAATCCTTCCATCCTCCACCATTCAGTCAGAAGTGAAGAAGCTTCCTGGATGTGAAGTGAAACGTCATCAAGGAAAAACAAAGTCCAGGTGCCTTTTGAAAAAAAAAAAACAACTTTGGGACAACCATGACCTGGATGACTGAGAATCTCCATAGACCCAATAAGAGCCTTGGTGGCGCAGCAGACTAAAGTGCTGTTAAATAGCACCAGCTGCCTGCAATTACTGCAAGTTCAAATCTCACCAGGCTCAAGGTTGACTCAGCCTTCCATCCTTTCAAGGTAGGTAAAATGAGGACCCGGATTGTGGAGGCAATAAGCCGACTTTGTATAAAAAAGAACACTGCTTGGGGGGGGGGGCGAAAGCCCTACTAAGCAGGTATATACAAAAGTATGAAAGCTATTGCTTAATGCATTGTAAGCCGCCCTGAGTCTCCGCAGAAGGGAGGCATATAAATCGAACCAATAAATAAATAAATACACATACACACACACACACAAATAAATAGAGAACCCTTGATCCAATGGTCCAATTAGCTACTCCAGTAACAACTTCTGTTGCTTCTTGCAGCGCCCCACATGTGTTTCTGCAGCTATTCAGAAGGGAATGATATATGCCAATGTGTCCAGTATCGATGAAGTAGTGACTGACAGGTTCCTGTGCAGTGGAGAAGATAAATCGTTGGAAGCCTACACTTGCAAAGGTGAATTTTACCTACAAAAGAGGTGTGACTATATCCCCAATGCGGGTAGAAGTGTGGTATGTCAAAGAGGGAAGGTTGAATTCTGGCCAAGCTATGTTATCTTAGTTGGGAGTCCCTAGACAAGGAGCGTTTTGCACCATTCCCACTCCCCAATCCTTTAGAAATACGGGTAGTCCTTGACTTAGGACCAGTCGCTAAATGACCGAAGTTACAGTGGACTTCAAAAAAAGCCACTTAGGAACAGCCCTCAAAGTTATGAATGTCGTACCCCACCCTCACCCCGCCATAGTCACATTATTGCATTTGGGGCGCTTGGCAACTGGCTGGCATTTATGACTAGTTGCAGAGTCCTGTGGTCAGGTGACTGCGATGTGCGATGTTTTTGTATGCTGGATTCGCTTAACGACTATATGGTTCCGTAACAATCACATGATTCACTTAAGAACAGCAATGACTCGTAAAAATGGTGGTAAACTCAAGTCTAGTCACGTGGTCTCTTGACTTAGGACCACCAATAGCTTATGACTGAAATTCAGGCCTCCATTATGGTTGTAAGTTGAGGACAGCCTATAGTTTGAGGCTGAGCTGTAAGTATCATAATACCACTCTATAAACCCTTATAAAGACCACACCTAGAGTACTGCATCCAGTTTTGGTCACCATACTATTAAAAAGATGTTGAGACTCTAGAAAAAGTTCAGAGACGAGCAACTGGGATGATCAGGGGGCTGGAGGCTAAAACATATGAAGAAAGGTTACAGTTACTGGGCATGGCTAGTCTAGTGAAGAGAAGGACCAGGGGAGACATGATAGCTGTCTTCCAATATTTGAGGGGCTGCCACAGAGAGGAGGAGGTCAAGCTATTTTCCAAAGCACCTAAAAGCCAGACAAGGAATAATGGATGGAAACTGACCAAGGAGAGATTCAACCTAGAAATAAGGAGAAATAAGACAGTGAGAACAATCAACCAATGGAACAGCTTTTCTTCGGAAGTTGTGGGAGCTTCATCACTGGAAGCGTTTGGAAATGGTGTAGGGTCTCCTGCTTGGGCGGGGAGGTTGAACTAGATGACTTACAAGATCCCTTCCAACTCTGTTAATCTAATCTAATCTAATCTAATCTAATCTAATCTAATCTAATCTAATCTAATCTATCGTCATGGCTGTTCTGATTATATCATAAAGACAATGAGATATGCCTTCAATTATCCCATAGATAGAAGCAAAGAACCAGGAACAGGATGCTGAATTTCGTATGTAAGAACATGGACATAAATCAGTGTTTCTCAACCTTGGCAAGGTGAAGATGTCTGGACTTCAACTCTCAGAATTCCCCAGCCAGCATGGGAGTTGAAGTCAAGACATCTTCACCAGAGGTGGGTTTCAGCAGGTTCTGACCAGTTCTGGAGAACCGGTAGGGAAAATTTTGAGTAGTTCGGAGAACCGGTAGTAAAAATTCTGACTGGCCCCGCCCCCATCTATTCTCTGCCTCCCAAGTCCCAGCTGATTGGGAGGAAATGGGGATTTTGCAGTATCCTTCCCCTGGAAGGGGGAGGGAATGGAGATTTTAAAGTATCCTTCCCCTGCCACACCCACCAAGCCACGCCCACCAAGCCATGCCATGCCCACCAAGCCACGCCCACAGAACCGGTAGTAAAAATTTTTGAAACCCACCACTCATCTTCCCCGTGCCAAGATTGAGAAATGCCGACATAAGAAATATTCAGCTGGATTGAATCCCTTGTCCATCTAGCCAGCAGTTTGTTTTCACAGTGGCCCACCAACTGCCCAAGGAAGCCCAATAGTCTCCCAACAGATGGCCTTCAGAGGCAGTCCTACAGCCATCCAGGCAAATAACCAGTGATCCCAAAAATGGGGTCAAGGCCCGATCAGTGGGATAATGAACCATGGAGAGGTTCTACAGAGCTGCACCATAGCAGATGGAAAGTCAACTTTGCCTTAGGTTGAAATCAACCAGTGCAGAGCTGGGTAGTTAGGTAGAGAGATAAATTACATAATTTTATTCTCTCTCTCTCTCTCTCTTTTTTTTAAAAGGATATTTAAGTGGGGGGGGAGGAAAGATTGGATGCATCCCATTGCTGGTCCCAGCTGAGGAAATATTTTCTAATAACAGAGGTCTTTCAGTCCAGGATATTTCCTTACACGCTGAATCAACTTATTGATGTTATGGCAACTTTTATTCATAGAACCCTTCTCCTCCCTCTTTCTAGTCCTTGCTATGACCTGAGTGCCCGGTTCAATGCCTTGTATGTTTCAGCCATGCAAAAGATCAGATGTTCTGCCCCAGCTCCAGATCCCAAGGAGTGTGACACACACAAAGCTCCAAAACTCTGTTTAATACAAACAGACCCCTTTCAAAATGCAGGCTTCCAGTGCAAATCTCCTTATCAGCCTGCTATGAATTACAGAGAATAAACAAAGTCCGACAAGGGTTGGCAACCAGCCCAGAAACCAAGATGTACAAGAAACTCACTCTCAAAATGCTCTGCATAGTAATTAAACATTGTTTCCAGCAGCGTGTGCTATCTGTGAGCGAACTTAAATAGGCTAAGGGAGTGGCCAATTAGCCCCAAGCCTTACTCTCAAGGAGACCTCCTCCTGAGTAGCCACTCCTGCCTTTTGGCAACCCTGCGTGCTCGAGCATTGAGAAGAGGCTCCTCCACTTCATTCTCTTCACTTGAAGGAGCCTCTGGAGGTTCTGAAGGCCCTGACTGAGTCTCTGCCTCTGGCACCACATCCTCTTCAGCCTCCTCGCTGTCTGACTCGAGCGCCGGCTGCACAAGCTGCTGGCGCGACACCACACCAGCCTCCTCGTCGTCGGGATCAGCCACAATCCGTGCAGGCCATTGGCAGGCCACAACATCAGATGGCTGTAGGAATAATGTACATTTCCTGCTGCCCAAGTAGAAATTTTGAGGGCCAGTTTGGTTTAGTGTTTCAAGCCAATAGCTTAGAAGTCAGAAGACCACGAGTTCCGGTTCCCCTTTTAGATATAGAAGTTAATTGGATGGCCCAAAGGTGCCATTTCAAGAGGCGGCTTCTTTAAGCTGAAGAAGCGTCTTGGATGAGAAGTGGAACATCTTCAAAGAAAAACCAGAAAGTCCAGTTGTCTCTTGAAAAAAAAAAAAAAAACCTTTGTCACAACACGACCTGGATGACTGAGAATCTCCACAGACATTAATTGGATCATATTTTGAGGCAATCGTTCTCATCCCTAGACTGGGAAGTCGAAAAATATCTATCTACCAACCCACAAGGATCAGCATGGAACGTGATGCTCCATAGCCCAGTCCTTCACCCTACAGTGCATTGATAAATGAGAAGAAGGAGGAGGAGGAATTACACAATGCTTCCCTATGTACTAGTTGACATAGGTTGCATCTTGATGACCAGAATAGTTTGCTCTTGGGTTTTATCAACCATAGGATATCAATTGGCATTTCAAATGAAACAGTAGGAGTAATGCTACCATGTTTAACATGGACAGAAGAATTCCAAGACGTATGATCTACATGAGATAAAAGGCTAGTGAGGAATAAACAACTATCTTTAAACAATTCCAGAGTAAGCTGAGGCCTTAGGACTGTAGGTTTAGAAGTCCTCTGTCTTAGGTCTCCCCAGATGTAAAGATAGATCTCTGATCAGGAGAAAGAAAGAGACCTTCTCCTTCTATTGTTCATCTAATCCGAGGTTAAGTTTTGGCCAGTTTTGCAAGGCCTGAACTTTTGAACTTTTCCCTCCTAGAGGTGGCAAGAAGTGGTGAAATTTGTCCTCTGTTTAATTTCACTTCTCCCATTGAGAGCTTATGCATTGAAGACAACATTCCAATCACACTTGGCCAATAAAGAATTCTGTTCTGTTCTGTTCATTCTGTTCTGTTCTGTTCTGTTCTGTTCTATTCTATTCTATCCTATATTCTACTATTTTCTATTCTATTCTATTCTATTCCCTATTCTATTCTATTCTATTCTATTCTATTCTATTCTATTCTATTCTATTTTCTGTTCTATTCTCTATTCTATTCTATTCTATTCTATTCTATTCTATTCTATTCTATTCTATTCTTATTCTATTCTATTCTATTCCATTCCATCCCATCCCATTCCATTCCATTCTTAATCCTATTCTATTCTATTCTATTCTATTCTATTCTATTCTATTCATTCTATTCTATTCTATTCTATTCTATTCTATTCTATTCTATTCTATCCTATCCTATCCTATCCCATCCCATCCCATCCCATCTCATCCCATTCCATTCTATTTTGCAGGTGAATCTGGGGGATCGCTCTTCGTGGAAAGGAAAGAAAGACATTTTCAGGTAATGAATTATGTATTGGGTTCGAATGTGGCATGTACAGTAGCCAAAGTCAGTTGGTTAAAGCTCTTTTTATCTGGGCTCCGGCCAGTCCTTCCTTGAGATCCTACCTGTTCCTAAGCCAGAGGTTTTTTTTTTTTAAATTGTGGTTTATTGAACTAGCTACAATGGTATGGCTTGACTGTGGTAGTTAAAACTTAGATCAGTATGTGAACTTACGCAAAGTCTTGCAATCTTCAGGGTGGAGGTGGTGATTACAGCCTCATGGTGGCATATGTGGGGATGGGCATTTGCTCAAACTTTAGATCAAGGGGTGTCAAACTCAATTTCATTGAGGGCTGCATCAAGGTTGTGTTTGACCTCTCAGGGGGCCAGGGGTGGGCGTGGCCAGCTCGATGTCACTCGTGTTGGGGTCGCCTGTGCTGGCCCAAGCCCTCTGCCAGCAAAAACGGGCTCCCTCCCGAGCTCCGTTTTCGGCTGCGACAGCCTCCTGCAACCCTCTGCCAGAGCAAACGGAATTCAGGAGGGCCACCTGCGGCCCTCGTGAGCTCCATTTTTGGCTGCGATGGCGTCTTGCAACCCTCCGGCCAAGGGTGGGTTCTACTTACCTTTACTACCAGTTCGCAACGGGGCCGCACGCTCTTCTGCGCAAGCCTAGAAGCATTTTCATGATGTCAGGGTCAGGGGCGGAGCCTCCCGCCGGTTTTACTACCGGTTCTATAGAATTGGTGCGAACCAGGGGCAACCCACCACTGCCTCCGGCCCATGGGCCTTGAGTTTGACACCCCTACTTTAGATGCTCTGACAACAGTTGAGATGCTTTGCATTAGAAAAGGCAAGAATCCTCAGGGTGAGTGTTAAAAAATCTTCCTAATAAGCAGGAAGCTCTGCTCAAGAGGGAAGACCCTGAAATGAAAGAAGCGGACTCCCATTTCCTGGATGTGTTCCAGCAGAAACCAGGGTACCTTCTCTTGAGTGTGCTCTACTTGGATTCTTGCCCTAAGCAGAAGGAGGGGCTCAGTGGCTCTATGGTCTTCTTTTCCAAAACAGTCCCCCCCCCCCTTTGTTTTAATCTTCCTTAATTTTCCTGCAGAGTCCCACTTACTCTCCTTTTATGCCTTAAAATGTTTCAATTTAAGGTAGGTCCGGAAGGCAGAAGTTAGAATAACAATGATCGGCCAACATATGTGGTTGCAGAAATAAGAATAAACTAATAGTATTGTACAGGTGATTCACTACAGTCACCATAGGCTTAGCGCTACACATTATCCACTATACAACACTGGGTTATTGTGAGAGTAAATGCAAGTGTGTATCAGGAGGAGGCTACCAAGCACTACATAGACCAGGGGTCTCCAAAGTTGGCAACTTTAAGACCTGTGGACTTCAGCTCCCAGAATTCCTCAGCCAGCTGGCTGAGGAATTCTGGGAGGCTGAAGTCCCAGGTCTTAAAGTTGCCAACTTTGGAGATCCCTGTCATAAGCTATGTTTTTAGAGTGAGATGGTATGAAAATGTCACGAAAAGTTCATTGTGACATCAGTGTGAACTCCACCTTGGACATACATGGGTGTGATATTACTTCTGCTACTGCAATTTGGCAGTTCGAATCTCACCAGGCTCCAGGTTGACTCAGCCTTCCATCCTTCCGAGCAGGGGTGAAATCCAGCAGGTTTCTGACAGGTTCTGGAGAACCGGTAGCGGAAATTTTGAGCAGTTCGGAGAACCGGCAAATGCCACTTCTGGCTGGCCCCAGAGTAGGGTGGGAATGGAGATTTTGCAGTATTCTTCCCCCAGGAGTGGGGAAGGAATGGGGATTTTGCAGTCTCCTTCCCCTGGAGCGGGTGTGGGAATGGAGATTTTGCAATATCCTTCCCCCAGGAGCGGGGAGGGAATGGAGATTTTGCAGTATCCTTCCCCTGGAGTGGGGTGGGAATGGAGATTTTGCAAAATCCTTCCCCTGCCACGCCCACCAAGCCACGTCCCACCAAGCCACACCCACAGAACCAGTAGTAAAAAAAATTGGATTTCATCACTGCTTCCGAGGTTGACTCAGTCTTCCATCCTTCCAAGATCGGTAAAATGAGGACCCAGATTATTGGGAGCAATAATGCTGACTCTGTAAACACTGCTTAGAGAGGGCTGTAAAGCACTGCGAAGCGGTATATAAATCTAAGTGCTATTGCTGTTGCTATTATGATGAAAGGATAAATAGCCATAGCACTGATATATGGCTTCATAGTGCTTTACACCCAACTTCAAGCTGTTTACAGAGTTAGCATATTGCCCCCGACAATCTGGGTCCTCATTTTACCGACCTTGGAAGGATGAATGGCTGAGTCAACCTTGAGCCGGTCAGGATTGAACTCCTGACAGTGGGCAATACCGCATTCTAACCACCACGCCACCATGGCTCTTGCAAAATGACCTCATGATGTACATTTTGACATCATACTTGGGAAAATCAACCAAAGGCTGATTGGAAGATGGAGGCTTCCCTGTTCAGAACCACGCCAGGTGAAGGGCAAAAAACACCGAGATTTAGGTTGGCCAAGACCATTAATACCCACAATTAGTGACTCACTGGATCTGATCCAGGTTATCTAGTTTATTATTTACCGTTCTTTTGTCTTTCCCGATAGGTGGGTGTGATCAGCTGGGGCACGTACGATCCATGTGCGCGGCAGAATAAAAATAACAATGGGGAGATGATACGAGATCGGCCGATCAAAGACTACAAACCACGAGATTTCTACATCAGTCTGTTTCAAGTGCAGGATTGGTTAAGAAAACATCTGGGCAACTCCTTGAGATTCATTCCCATGCAATGAACTACTAATATTTGCTCTTAACCAGAATTCAGTACAGTGTTTGCCAAGCCAGCAATCTCCATGACGATTATTGAAAATGACCTTGATGGCATCTGTGATTCAACTAATTGATATTCTCAGCAGAAGGTTCAAAACCTAATCTGCTCCAAAGCTCATCATGTCAGAGCCTTGAGAGGTCCTTCAAACAAACATTGCAAAAAATGCCAATCGGCTGAAAATAGAATGAAGCCAGTGGTTCCTTTCATAATAGTGTATATTATGCACCTCTGCTTGCCTTCTTCCAAAATCCTTGTATAATATTTGTTCAAAAGTTAATCCCGTTCCCCTAAAGCTTTCTAATGTTAATTAACACAATGGTAATTAAAAGCTTCTTCCTTGTTCTTCCTGCCCTGTTTGTTATGACTTCTTACAGACCATGGCAGCAGAATTGCTATTAAATAAATTGTCAGTGGAGTAGCATGTCTCTTCTTCTTGTGCCATATCCATCATCGGACGTTGGTGATCGTGTAGCATATCTCAGTTGCCTCTTAATATCAATCCTTGTTTACTCAGAGTGAATGTTTGTGTTTAGTGCCATAAATGGTTCCTTTTTATGTGTTTTCGTTTTGGCAGCATCACATCACATAATGTTGTTTCATAGTTCGCAATTATGCCTTTGTGTGAGAAAAGAAAGGTATTTGAGCAAACAAACATTATCAGGAATTCATGATAAGAGGCTATTAGAAATCCCTAGGAAGTAATAAATAAGTCAAAGGCATTTTTGAATTAAAAGACTCCTGTTTCCTGCTTCACACAGGATGCTTTTGATTCAAAATATTGAAGTGCCAGAAACGGTTTGCTACCTCTATCCAGATTAGGCTCTACGACATCCACGGGAAGGGCAGGTCTTTTGACGATGAGATTGTGGCTGCCATCCGAACTTATTGGACACACGTATACACACAATTTGTGAATGTCCTTGTTTAGTTTCATAATCCCATTTTAAATCTGGACATCATTTTAAAAAGCAACAGGAAACAAAGAGAAAAGTGACCCCAGAAAAACATAACATTAATCATAGATGTCCCTAAATGTTTTTCTACAAATAAAGGAATAACCCAATAGATACATTGTGAGGGTTGTTTTTTTTTTCATTCAGGATATCGTCTTTAAGTGGAGTGGTTTCTGCATGTAGTTTCATGAAGTTAAAAGTAAAATGTTGGCTATGATTTTGTCATAAAAACTAATAACCACTTTCCATTTTTCCCCACTATTAAGTAGAAGTTCTCTCCATATATCCCTGAGTCAGCAGAAAAATATACTGGCATGAAATTTCTTGTTCTCATTGCCAATTTGATCCTGGTTCTGCTTCATCAGGGCAAGATTTGAGCAACCTTAAGGCTGTCTTTCGATGGAGCTGGAATACAGGTAGTCCTCGATATACGACTGTTCAAAGTTACAACGACACTGATACTTGAACAGTCACTAAATGAGCTGTTGTAAGTCGAGGACTACCTGTACGTATCTTTGCTCAGTGGCTACGTCCTAAATACATGCCAGTTGGGAAGAGTCCAAATTTTAATCACGTGACCATGAGGGTGCTACAATGATCGTAAGTGTGAAAAGTACTTTTTTTCAGTGCCGCTGTGGTTTTGAATGTTCACTTTGAACACTGTTCCAATATTTAAGGGGCTGCCACAAAACAGACGAGGGTCAACCTATTCTCCGAAGCATCTGGAGACGCTTTGGAGAGTACAGAGAAGAGCAACCAGGATGATTAGGGGACTGGAGACTAAAACATATGAAGAACGGTTGCAGGAACTGGGCATGGCTAGTCTAGTGAAGAGAAGGACCAGGGGAGACATGATAGCAGTCTTCCAGTATTTGAGGGGCTGCCACAGAGAGGAGGGGGTCAATCTGTTTCCCAAACCACCCGAAGGCCAGACAAGGAATAATGGATGGAAACTGACCAAGGCAAGATTCAACCTAGAAATAAGGAGAACTTTTTTGACTGAGGACAATGAACCATTGGAACAGAAGTTGCCTTCGGATGTTGTGGATGCTTAATCACTGGAGGCTTTCATGAAGAGATTGGACTACCATTTGTTGGAAATGATGTAGGGTCTCCCACCTGGGGGTGGGGGTGGGGGTTGGACTAGATGACCTACAAAGTCCCTTCCAACTCTGTTATTCTGTTAATCTGCTATTGCTACTAGTTTTCCCCTTCTAGGAAGGAGTACCTAGAAAAAAAAAATGTATTATCTTAAACAGGGTTGTTCTCTGCAGATGTGGTCAAAAAAATCATAATGGAAGCCGCAGCTATGCAATCAAAGGTTGCCCTGTATTTTAATGCAATGTACCTTAAAAATAGGCAGAACTCTAGTCAGACCATCATGGCTGCCATCTTTTTGCTCATATCCTATGGACAAACCTTGGGCATAAATTTCTGGTGTTTAGAGCTCACTTTATATGTATTTATTCCTTCTGGAGGCTGCCCAGTTCCAATCAATTCTTCATGAAGTGCGTTTGTTTGAAAAGGTGCTATCGGACTCCTTCTGTGGCTAACACAGACTAACATGGCTGCCTGCTACAAGGCACAGCTAGTGAAATAGAGGTAGTTCTCGTCTTACAACGGTTCGCTTAATGACGGTTCGAGGTTACAATGGCACTGAAAAAAAAGTGACATGACCAATTTTCACACTGATGACCGTTGTACCATCCCCATAATCATGTGGCTTACATCCAGATGCTTGACAACTGACTCGCATTTATCATAGTTGCAGCGTCCATGTGATTACCTGCAACCTTCTGACAAGCCGGATTCACTTAACAACCGTGCTACTAACTTAACAACTGCAGTGAATCACTTAACAAATGTGGCAAGAAGAGTCGTACAATGGGGCAAAACTCACTTAACAAATTGCTCACTTAGCAACGTAAATGATGTGCTCAATTGTGGTCATACGTTGAGGACAGGGCCGGATTTAGATGAAAAGAGGCCCTAGGCTATTCCACTTATGAGGCCCTTTCACCTATAGTGAAAGTGTAATTTTAATTTTGCTAACAATTTGAACGTAGGCCCCTCTTGATCTTGAGGCCCTAGGCTGAAGCCTAGTTAGCCTATAGGAAAATCCGGCCCTGGTTGAGGAGTACTTGTTGTGACCCAGACCCAAATAAGTAGCAGGAAAATCAGTCAATGAAAAAACAAACAAACTTTATTCGGACAGCTGAGAATTACTTCATTCCCAGCGTCGTTCAACTAAATTAAAGCAAATTCCTCCCAACACAAATTCCTCAGTCCTATCGCAAACCTTGATCGAATTAGGCAAACTGCCAAAGGCCTTTCTTGGCAAACATTCAGAAGTCACAGATACAAAAATAAATGCAAGACGTAGATGAAGAAGACAAAGCTACCAACGTTGTTTTCCGGCAAAACCCAAACGCCTTTGCTGGTCTGTTTTAAGCCTTATGGGAGGGGCCAATAATCTCTTGGCCCTACTCCCGAGTTGTCCTCTTTGCTTGAACTGCTCTTGCCTTCTGGCAGCTCTTCTCATGCGTGCATTAGGAACAGGCTCCTCCTGTTCCTCTGCCTCACTACTATCAGTCAATGGAGGCTCTGGAGTCCTCACCTCACTTCCCGATGGCCCTGGCCCCATCTCTGCCTCCGACGCAGAGCCATCACCCGAGCCTTCCCCAGCCTCCAGGACTGGGCCATGTTCTTCCTCAGCCTCATCGCTGTCCGACTCCGCTTCCAGCTCCACAGGCTGCTGGCGGACCACAACATCTGTATGCTGTAAAATTAGTTTGCCTGATTCTCTTAATGACAGCTTGGCTTCTTTGCTGTAGCTAGGTTTAGCTGTGAAGAATCTGCTCTGACAGTTCTGGATTATTTGGTAAATTTGGTTTATAATAGCAATAGCAATAGCACTTAGACTTATATACTGCTTCATAGTGATTTTACAGCCCTCTCTAAGCAGTTTTACAGAGTCAGCCTATTGCCCCCAACAATCTGGGTCCTCATTTTACCGATCTCGGAAGGATGGAAGGCTGAGTCAACCTTGAGCCTGGTGAGATTTGAACTGCTGAACTGCAGCTAGCAGTCAGTTGAAGTAGCCTGCGATGCTGCACTCTAACCACTGCGCCACTTCGGCTCTATAATGGAAGCAGTTGTTCAGCATCTGAATCTACTTTGATGTTTTCATGCTCAGTATCCTGCCCATAGCAAATCTGGCTGCCAGGTTGAGAGTAAATTACAGTTTCCTTTATCCTTTGATAATTTCTTTTTTTCAGCCGAGTCTTTAAATGTACCAAAATGAATCTGATATCGTGACTTAGAATCTGGTTAACTTTAGAGGCCTACCTATAGAAGAATATTCTTTATTGGCCAAGTATGATTGGATACACAAGGAATTTGTCTCCAGTGCATAAGCTCTCAGTGTACATACAAACGACAAAGTGATGTCATAGATGGTACAATCATAAATCATAAGATACAAACAACGGTGTGATAATACTGGATAGCTCAACAGACAGGCTCAATAGGAGCCTGGATAGCTCATCAGACAGAAGCACTGTAATTTAACACCAGCTGTCTGCAATTAAAGTAAGATCGAATCTCGCCAGGCTCAAGGTTGACTCAGCCTTCCATCCTTTCTAAGGTAGGTAAATTGAGGACCCAGTTTGTCGGGGCAATAAGCTGACTTTGTATAAATATGCAAAAGTATGAAGGCTATTGCTTAACGCATTGTAAGCCACCCTGAGTCTCCGGAGAAGGGCGGCATATAAATCAAATTTAAAAAAAAAATTAAAAAAAATAATACAAAGCCATGCTACAAAGCCAGCAGGGTGCAACAGCAGCCAAAAAAGCTAATACAATCCTTGGTTGTAGAAACACATTGAATCAAAATCACGTGAAATATTAATACCGCTTTATAAAACCTTAGTAAGCACGGGGAACCTGTGCGCATGCGCGGGGTTCCTTGCATTACTTTTTGGGGGTTGGGGCACACACATGTGCATTCACACACATGTGCACATGTGTGCTTTGGACACTCGGCACCAAAAAGGTTAACCATCACTGGCCTATAGTGTACCATTTCAGACAAATGGTTGTCCAAGCTCTTCGCACTTAATGTTGCCACGAAACTCCGTGTTTCCCATTGTTTTGAAGGACTGGTTCAGACCACGTGCGTCTGTTTGCACTGCCTATTCCCAGGCAATCCCGAGATCAATTATCCTGAGTCTAAGTCAATTAGACTTCATACTGCATTCATAGTCCATGCAGATAAAGAACTTAAGTCTTTAGAAATTACGTTTGATAGTCACATGCCAAAAAAAGTGCTAGTTGTATTGTAGTTTGGCTTGATAAATAGCGGAAGACTAGAAGAGCAAACAAGGGAGTTGGTGAATAAGAACCATGAGGCTGGGCTCCAAGTTAGATCCATTGCTTAGCAATAGCAGGGACCTGATACACTGCAGTAATCCTCTGGCATAATTCAAATTGTGAAACTTTCCTTTGTGATATTAAATCTGGGGATTTCCCAAATGACCTTTCCTCTTTTCCTGCCTCCACGATTCATATTTTCCCAATTCCATCCCCCCCCAAAACCTTGGGAATTCCTGTCCACCTGCAAACCGAGGTCATCTGGCCTCACCTCTCTCCCACCCGACTCTAGAATTGCTTAATAGACCGTGTTATTTCCCAAAACTCAGCTGCTTTCTCGGGGTGGGGTTAGCCAACAATACGTTTGGAGGGAGGAAAATCAACATTTCATAAGTAGCTGCCCTGCATCGCTGCTGTCAGTACCAAAGCAGCAGCAGCAGCAAAGAAACTGAAAGGCAGACGGGAAAGAGAGGCAGGAATGCAGAGGGTTCGTCCGCTCCTTTACATCGCCATTGTCCTTGGGGCACTTGGCACAGGTAAGCTAAAAGATTCGAGAAACACCTGGTGAACTTCTTCCAGGTGCCCAGAGCAAGCTTGTGCTCGGAGGAAGCTAATGGCTCTTGAAGCCTGAAACTTCTCAGACTTTTGTCCTGCTGAAAATGATGCCATAAGGGTTGTCACATGAAAATAATGAAGTTTTTAAAGTTTTCTTTTTTTCAGTTCCCCTGTTGGAACTTTTTGCTAGTCGATATTTGCTGTTTTCTCCTATTCTCCTGTCTTTGCTGCCTGTTATTTTGCATAACTGCCTTTTTGACATCTTCTAAATCAGGGATCGGTTGTCTATTTAATTTTAGCACGATTGCTACCCTAAAAAAAACAAAACAAAACACCACAAAGTTAGAATAATGAACCGGTAGAGAGAAGAACCACAATTCTATCAAATTTGAGTGGATTCAAAATTTATCTCAATAGCAATAGACCACTATATGGCAACATTTTATGCATGATAAATTTGTGTGTGTAAACTGTGACTTTGTACTTTTTATACTTTCTATTTTTTTTCTCTGTGCATCTTGGATTCATCATGCTAATCATAGTTCAATAAAAATGGTTTCTAGCTGCTTTTTGACATGTAAACATATTTGGATGGATGACTTATAACGGTTCTTCAATAAGAGGCAGTTTTTAAGAACCAACGTTCAGTGATGATAATGTGGTAGCCTACAGGCAACCTTATTTGACCATTGCTTTATAGGCAATGCTTATGAAAAACAAGCAAGAGATTGTCTCATAGAATCTTTGGCACTTAGAGTCTAAGAGACGAGGAAGCTTTCAAAATGAATTTTGAGTTTTGAAATCAAAACGATTTCCTTTCCCTTCTGAATTGCACATTTGAAAAGCCACAAAGGTCTGTTTCAAAATCTGTTCAAATGCCTTGGATGTGTTTCAAAATCATTGAGGTGTCAAAATTGTGGATGCACTAGATCTTTCTGTTTATGAATCCTTTACACAGGCTTATATATTTGAGGCAAACACAATAGGTTTCATATTTATATTCATATTCTTACAAGGAAGTTTTCAGCATACTGTAAGGCATTTGTCATTCATTAAGCATGGTGTGATCTCTTGGGTTTTTCCCCTTTTCCCAGTGTATGAAAAGCTATACAGTATAGGGGCAAAGGCTTAGATTTCATTTATTAATTTTATTTGTTTGTTTAATTTATACAGTTGCCTATCTCAACATATATGATTCTGGGCGGCTACAAATCTTTAGAAACAAAATAACAACCATTTATAGTCTTTCTTAAAAATAATTGCACTGGAAAAGCATAATGTCAGAAAGAGGTTTATAAACCTAGGTCTTTCCCTGATTTATGGAAAGACGTATTTGCTTATAAGCCTCTCTTTCTGACATTATGTCTTTTTTCAGTGCTATTATTTTTAAGAAAGACCTATAATAGCTGTTATTTTGTTTTTAAAGATTGCTAGCTGCCCAGAATCATGTGTTTGAGATAGGCGGCTTGTGTAAATTAAATGAACAAACCAGATGAATGAAATAAATGAAATGATAGCCTTTGCCTTTATATAGCTTTGCATACACGGGAAAAAGGGAAAAACCCAGATCACATCATGCTTTATAAGTGGCAAATGCCTTACAGTATACTGAAAACTTCCTTGTAAGAATAAATATGAAACCTATTGGGTATGCCTCAAATATGCATGCTTGCGTAAAGGACACGTAAACAAAAAGACATACTGCATCCACAATTTTGACACCTAAATGTTTTTGCTTTTGCTACTGCATTTTAACAGCAGCTTATATAAGGCTAAGCCTATCTCAGTAAGAATTGAGCTGAGATTTAGCACAAGTAAAGATAAAAAGCACAGTGGTTGAATGTATTCTCTCTCTTGAAGTACTTTGTTGTTGTTGTTTTTCCCAAGACTGTCATTAGTTTTTAGGCCATTTATAGTGGTTTTTTGTTTGTTTGGTCTCCTTCTGTCAGAAATAAGATTTAGAAAGTTTATGACTATTGGTTTGAGGTTTATGGGATTTTCAGAAACAGTCCATCCTGAACAAACTGGATTAGCCATTAGATTAAGTACACTAAATTGCAGGGTTATTGACAGATCTGCAGCTTTCATCTGAACATTTCCCAATAGAAAGAATTTGTCAATATTACACCATCCCTTTCTATAAATGTGTGCACCCTTGCATACTTGCAAAAGATAAATCAATTGTCTCTCAAGGGCCTGTAATCCCTAATTTACCAAATATTACCGGACTTCATTTCCCAGCAACCTTCAGTGTATAAGGCTAACAGTGAGGGATGCTGGGAGTTTAAGTCAACTACACCGAAAGGGTCAGATGGTTTCTTTGTAAAGCAGCGTTTCTCAGTCTTGGCAGTCTCAAAAGATGCGTGGACTTCAATTCCCAGAATTCCCTAGTCAACATGGGGCATTGTGGGAGTTGAAGTCTACACATGTTGTAGCTGCCAAGGTTAAAAAATGCTGCTCTACCGGGACATCATTGCTCATGAAGGACCCCTCCCCATAATGCATTTTAGTAACAGCCCACACTCTCTATTACACACATTGTGACAGGCAGGGGCACCACAGCTGCCATCTTGACTTTTTTGATCCTGTTCTCTTTGTTTTGCTTCTAAGGCAGTGTTTCTCTACCTTGGAAGCTTGAAGACGGGTGGACTTCAACTCCAGAATCCTCCAGACAGCTTGCTGGGGGATTCTGGGAGTTGAAGTCCACCCGTCTTCAAGCTTCCAAGGTAGAGAAACACCGTTCTAAAGCCAAGTGCCAAGATTGGATCTGGTCCTTTCCTTGCACTCTTGCAATCTCCAGCGGACATTTGTGATTTTAGGATAGCCGGTGAGAAGGGAGGGAATCTAGCCTCATGGAGAGTCCTTGACTAACAACAGTTCATTTAGTGACCGTTTGAACTTACAATGGCACTTGAAAAAAAACACATATGACCGTTTTTCACACTTATGACGGTTGCGGCATCGCCATAGTCACGTGATCAAAGTTCAGAGACGCCTGGTAACTGATTCAGATTTACGACAGTTGCAGTGTCCCAGGGTCATGCAATCAAACTTTTGTGACTTTGTGACAAGCGAAGTCAATGGGGAAGCCAGATTCCCTGAACAACCATGTTATACTAATCTAACAGTTGCAGTGATTCACTTAACAACTGTGGCAAGGAAGGTCATAAAATGGGGCAAAAAGTCACTTAGCAACCGCTTCACTTAGCAACAGAAACTTTGGGCTCCATTGTGGTCGTAAGTCGAGGACTAAAGGAAAAAGGTGCCCCCCCCAATCTTTCGGCAAAGATGGGGGCCCTGGCTGCTTTTTTCAGAATGTGGGGTTATAGAACAAGACTAATTTCAGATTTGGGAAGCGGGGTAGTGGCGGTGTCAAATGCAAACTGAGCCCACCCTTCCCCAATACAGCTCCACGCAAAGGAAGAGGGAGACTAATTCCCAGCTTCCCAAACCGGTGTGACTCCAGATAGCCTTAGTACTGCGCTGCCTGAGGTAAAATGGCCCCGGGTTACTTCTCCTTTCATATTCCCCACTCTTTTTTTTAAATGGGGAAATTCATATTAAGGCAAGATTGTTTCAGAGCTTGACCTAAAATAAAAAAGAAGCTCCTTGGACTTCAGGATAAAGAAATTTAATCAAGATGTCCTTCATTTTAATCTTTGGTTTTAATTTATTTGGGTTTTAATGTAGTTGTATTTTTTTTAGGTCTGCAAGCCACCCAGAGTTGTTTATGGCAAGATAGGTGGCAAACAAACAAACAAACAAGCAAACAAACAAATATACACACATACCCTGCGCTTATTTCAGGGTTCAAAAAAATATAAGACAGGAACTTATTTTCGGGGAAACACGGTACATACATACCGGGGTGAAATGTAAAATTTGTTACTACTGGTTCTGTGGGCATTGCTTGGGGGGTGGTAATGTGACTGGGTGGCCGTGGCCAACTTTTTTTTTTTTTACTTTTCAAAGCATTTTTTCTAATGCTTTGAAAAGCCTCTGCTGATCAGGCAACTCAGCTGGGATCGTCAGAGACTTTTCAAAGCATTTTTTTTATCACCTCTTCGGCCAAGAGGTTGCAGAAAAAAATGTTTTGAAAAGCCTCTGATGATCCCAGTTGAGCCGCGCGATCAGCAGAGGCTTTTTTTTTTTTACTTTTAAAAGCATTTTTTCGTTGGAAGAGGTTGTAGAAAAAATGCTTTTAAAAGTAAAAAAAAAAAAAGCCTCTGCTGATCGCGCGGCTCAACTGGGCATGGGGGGGGGCGCAGGGATTTCTGCTACTGGTTCTCCGAACCACCCGCCGCCATTGCTACTGGATCGGGTGATCCGGTCCGAACCGGGAGCATTTCACCCCTGATACATACATACATACATACAGTACATACAAACATATCTGTAAGCCACCCAGTTACTTATGGTAAGGTGGGCGGCCAATAAATGTTATACATACATACATACATACATATATATACACACACACATACACACACACACACACACACACATATCAGTGTGTGTGTTTATATACCGTATATCTATATCTATATCATGTCTGCCTGCCTGCCTGCCTGCCTGCCTATACATATGTATGTGTGTGTAGATAGAGATAGATAGATGATAGATAGATAGATAGATAAATAGATAGATAGATAGATAGATACACACACAGATATATAGAAGAGGCGATAGACATCACGATCTCCAGAACGTTCTGGAGATCGTGATGTCTATCGCCTCTTCTATAACTATACCTGGAACCCCCATCTTTAGGACAACATATATATATATATATATATATATATATATATATATATATATATATATATATATATATATATATATATATATATATATATATATATATATATATACACAGACACATATATATACACATAGTACCCTGTTTCCCCAAAATAAGACCTCCCCTGATAATAAGCGCAATTGGGCTTCTGAGCGCATGAATAAGGCCAAGTGCTTATTT